TACAAACACAGCTGGGTCTTTTTACTTTATTTTATTTTTACTATATATCTCCCTACCTATCTGGAAAAGCAAAGTTACAAAGACAGGAGAGACAGAGAGATCTTACATCTGCTGGTTCACTCCCCAAATGGCCACAATGGCCAGGGCTGGACAGGTCTGAAGCCAGGAGGAGTTTCCTCCAGGTCTCCCACGTAGACTCAAGGGTCCAAGCACCTGAGCAGTCCTTTGCCACTTTTCCAGGCCATTAGCAGGGAGCTGGACGAGAAGTGGAACAGCTGCAACTCGAACCAGCATTCACACGGATGCCTGCGCCCCAAGTGGAGAATTAACTTGCTACCAAATGGCACCGAGCCCACATCTGGTTCTTAAAACGAACAATGAGTATTGGTCAGGTCAGCATCCCTGGGTCTCCACGCTGCTCCCTTCTTGCCGCCAAATACAGCCCCTCTGTTCTGGACTCGTATTTCATACACTACACCACTCGTTTTCTGTCTTTGTCAGCTGACCCGACAGGTGCAATCTTCCAACTTGTCTTCTTGTTTCCTCCAACCCTCCACAAAGCCTTTGGGCTGTCCCTCTGGCAGCAGAGGAACTTCTGTGACAGGACCCGGTGCAAAGGCTGCACTTCTTCAACTTTGAATTAAGCCAACCTCCTCACCTGTGGGTCACTGGCACTGGCTGTAGATAAAGACCTAACAGAAAGGCCTACACACCTACAGGGTAAGGAACCACAAAGTCAAAAGAAATGTTGGTGTCTGCATCCCTACATGGCAACTCATAGGCTTGTGAAGGCCAGTAACCCACCCAGAGCCACTTGGTCCAGTCCCTAGAAAACTGCCCAACACTGCACTCTCCTCTAGGTGGCAGATCCCAGCCAGGGGCACAGGACTGCTGGACCCTGCCACAGGCCCGGATGAAACAACCAGACACAGGGGAAATGACCTCAGAGGTGGCTCAGCCTGTCCGGCACGGTGGTACCTCCCACCCCCATGAACGCTCACGCTTTGTGGGCAGTCATGGTTCTTATTAATGTCAATGTCTGGCAAGCTGGCCCCTTACACAAACTTGCACCAAGTGGTCACCTTGTCCAAGAGAGAGCAGGAGTCCCAATGCCAGCGCGCCTGCCACCGAGGCCTCCACTCGAAGCTCTCATCCAGCAGACTCAGTGCCTGCCCTGGCAGCCACTGTTCACACCACCAGGAGCCGGCAGGCATGGGCACGCATGCCGGAGCACACTCGTTCTGTGACAAGCTCACAGCTCCCACCCAGCCTGGGATTGGGCCAGGAGAGAGGAAAAGGAACAGGAGGCCAAGAGAACCAGGCCTGCCACCCAAGCCCCTGGACACAGACAACACGGCTGCTGGGGTCACACGTTGGCTTCCTCATGGGGAAAAGAGGGCACCCTGAGTCCTCAAGCCAGACTCCCAAGCTTCTCCCAGTTCCCTCCACAGAGGACTGCTTTCTAGGGAGAAGCCAGAGGTGGAACAAAAACCAAGCAGTGACTTCCAGAAACGGCCATGGGGTTCACATTTTGATGACCCAGTTTCCCTGTAAATGTTGCCTGATGATCCACCCGGGAGGTGCCAAGGGGGGCTGAGCAGTGGTCCCAGTCCTGCTCAGCCCCTCATTTCCCCCTATCCTCAGGTGAGGGTGCTGAAAACACCAGGGTGCCCCAGGCCCCAAGAAATGCACACTCCCCTCTCCAGACACACCTGCTCCTCTCCATCCCATGAAAGACCTGAAACCCAACTCGGCCCTCTGTCTCCGGCCAGGGGCCCCTGTGGCTCCTCCAGCGAAGCCCAGCCCCATGTCCCTTTGTCACCATTTACTTTTGGCAACTCGAAACGCTCGGCAAAGACTAGGAACCCAACTCACTGCGATCCACAAGAAAGCTAAGCTTGGTTTTCTTCACCCCAAGCCTCCACACTTTCCCCTGCCCCACTGCCTGGCTGGGTACTCCCAAGCAGCCAGGAACCACTGGTTGAAGGAAGACAGATTCCCCCAAAACAGCACAAAACAATCATTCAGCTCAGACACTGCAGGGAGACCCCGATTCCTGACAGGGGATACTGGACAATCTCCATGCACCCCAAGGATGCTGGCACCTCGCTCTGGCCCTGGGTCATAGTCACGGCGCATCATTACACCCCCAAGCCGCGTCAGAGAGAAGTGTCTCTGAAAGGAACTCCCCCATAAGACGAAAGATCCATCATTCCCCACAGCGTTAATCCTAACCCTCAGGCCTCCGCAGGCTCCTCTGCCTCAGTCCCGGGAGACCCTGGCACAGTGTCTGTGGCCCAAGGAAGCTTCCGCTCGCGGTGGCCACATCTCATTCTGGTCGGGAGGAGGAGGCCCAGAGGGTGGGAAGCCGGGAGCAGCCACTCCAACCCCAGAGCCAGGATGGGGGAATATTCGGGCAGTCAATGGCACTTGCCCTGTCAACTGGACAAGAGCTGGCAGCGGGCAGCCAGGGACAAGGGGAAATACCCATGCGACAGCCAGGGAAAGGGGAGGGGAGGGGACGGGCGCGCGCAGTCCCACGGCGCGCAGGCCTTCCCGCTGCGCTCCACGGGCGGCCCGGGACGAGCACAGGAAGCTGGAGGGGCTGCAGGGAGAGGGGAGGAGGCGCCCGCACACCATGGGGACACCAGGCCGCGCGTGGCGTGCGGGGAGTGCTCCGGGCCCGACGGCGTGCAAGGGCGGGGTGGGCGTGCAAGCGGTGGCCGCCTGCGGCGACGGGGCCCGCGCGGGGGAGCTGGTTACCGTGTGGTTCACCCCCCACATCAGGACGCTGAGGATCGGCTCGCTGGCCCGGAATAGCTTCACTTTCTGGCACACGAAATGCTTCTTCTTGGTCTTGGTCTTGCTGGCGCTGAGCGGCGCCACCGCCACCGCCGTGGTGCTGGTGCAGTTGGACGACATGCCCGGGGCGGCGGCGGCGGCGGCCGAAGGGGGGGCGGCGGAGACGGCGCACAGACCAGCGGCCCCAGGCCTCCCCCGGACCGATCCCCACCCCCGCTGCCTCACCGCGCCATGGTCGCGCCCGTCCCGTTACCTCCCCACCCCGCCTGGGTGGTTGCGTCCGCCCCACGCCCCGCCCTCCGCGCCGCGCCCCGCCCCGCCGTCCTCGGGCCCTCCTCCCCGCCGGAGTGGTACCGCCCGTCCCGCCCCGCCAGCCCCTCCTCCCTAGACGCAGGAAGCGCCGGGCCGGCCCCGTCGCCGCTCAGAGCAGCGGCCCGGAGCGGGACGGGGGACGGGGAGGGCAGCGCTCGCCGGTTACTGCGGGGAGGGGCCCCGCCACCCACCCAAAGGCGGGCTTCGGCTACTTCCCTCCACCCGGAGTGCCAAGATGGCGGCCGCGACCCAGCTCCGTGAACCAAGAGGGATGGGCTGTACCATCCGCACCCCGGGGGAGTCGGGAGAAACACGGCGAGGGGAAAAGGAAGTCCATCCTGGAGGACCGAGGACGCCCCCTCGCCCCACCCAGGCGTGGGTCTCCCCACTCCCGGGGCGCTCTCCACGCGCGAGCCACGCCCCTTTCCCCCAGGGCCAATGAGAGCAGCGGGCCGGGAGCCCTGGGTTTTATGAATGGGTCCCGTGCCCACCCACCTGTCGCCTGGCTGCCACCGGCCCAAGGGTCCAGTGAAGCCGCTGCCGGCACGCAGGCACACCTACCCTACACATGCTCTTATTCTCTGGCTCACTTCATGAAATGTTTGAGTAAACTGCCCACGCTTTGTTACATAATTCCTCCAGGAGGAAGGATCTCTAACATTAGATACAAATCACCAGTCAACATTGTTCCCTGTGTGGAGATTCATAAACTCAGTACTCCATAAGTGGCCGGTCTTTTAAACAGTTACAAAAATAAATGTAAGCTTTATTACCGAGTAATAAAAGCCATAATTAACCGTAGCAAAGGGGAGCAGGATGAAATGATTAAAATGAACAAGAGTGTGAATATGGTACATTTCCTGGAGGGGGAAGAGACTAGGTTTTGTGCATGGCAGCGTCTGGCATCATAAGTGCTCAAACACATAAATCCAGGTGTGTTTTAAGTGAAATCAGGAAACAAGATAAGAAAATAGCTCAGTCAAGCTGTGGGTCAGTTCACTGGTTCAATGAGGGCTTCCAGTCAAAGAACAGATCTTGGAAAGATGTTCCCAACCCTGGTGCCAAGGAGCCCATGCCATCTCAGAAGTACCCAAGCTTCTCCAGGAACACGCTTCCCCACACTGAGGTTTCTAGGACGTCATCAAATGATTGTCTCCCATCCCCGGATTCTGATGCGGTTTGACAGCAAGGAGTGCCCCCTCTGCCACCACAGCCCTGCCAAGCCTTGACCCCCTGGGAATGCAGGAGAAAACAAAAATTGAAACATTTGTCCCACACACCTTCCTCCATACCTTGACCCTCCCACCCTAATCTCAGACCCACATGGGTGTGCACCACTCTCAACTTTGTAAACAATGTTTTAAAAAGAAGAAGAAGAAATAGAGCAAGGGCAAGAGTGAGGACAGGAGAGTAGTCTTGAGTTGTTTTTTAAATACAGGACTAAAAAACACTTGCAAACAACTTGAGAGTGACATCCGCCTAAGGCTTCCAGCTTCTCCCTGGCTTCCTCTCAGCAGTCAGAGGCATAGACTGTGGTCCTGAGCCCGGGAGTCACACTGCCAACAGCGCAGCCTGGGCAGCACTAAGGGACACCCCCAGATCCTGTGGATAACGCCATGTTCCTCACCGTGCTGGACGCAGAGCACCAGCTGACCTGCCTTCAGCCATGACTCACCAACAAGGATCACCGGGTTCTACTCTGTAGTAAAGACATTTACCAGACAAGGTGTGCTCACAAAGTGGTTAAACAAGCATGTGGAAATCACACATGTATACATACATAGCCTGCAGCTCAGAGACCACAGAGCTGACCAGTCCCTCAGGGCTTCTCCACGGCTTCCCCTCCAGACACCCCACAACAGGCCTGGCTCTGCCCTGACCCAACACGTCCAGGTAGACGTCCCTGAGGGTCTCCTATGGCAAGCCACCCGGGTCCACTAGGGACCGGCTGGCTCAGGAAGCCCTCGGACAAGGTCACCTTGAACAGCGGGGGCTCAGCATCGGTGGAAAAAGTCACCTGAACTCTTATAAAGAGAATCTTTAAGGGATCAGCAGCCTCCCTGGAAAATTCAGAAAAAGCAGTGAAGGCAGAGGACTGTTTCATCTCTTCATGAAGTTCTTCTCCAGCGCCATGGATGTTCTCTGCAGAGAGTAGATGTTCCTCTTGACGCGATCCTCCAGCGAGGAAGTGGATGCGCTCTGGAGCTTCATGTCACTAGGGAAGGGAAGATAGGCCAAGGAAAGTCAAGTGAAATTTCCAACTGGACATCACTGGCAGGATTCGAACAAGCAGCTGGCTAGCCATAAAGCCGCCACAGAACCTCAGCTCACTCAGGCCCATACATACAACTTGCCAGTGACTCCAGCAAGAAGCAAGCTTTATTTTCAAGCAGAGCCCATGAAGGGAAATAGATCTGCTTTGGAAAATAAGTCCAAGCCTCACTGAAAAGACCTTCCCTGAGTCAGGAATTTTTATCTAAAAGGAAGGTCAAGGAAAGGAATTTCAATGATTCAGAAAATACCATTCACATCTCTCCTCTCAAATTAAAAACAAAAAAACAAACAAACAAACAAAAAAGGCAACAATTCTCACAGGTAGTGAAAGTGTTTGGGCACACCCCTGCACAGCTCTGGCACTGCTGTGTGGGTGTCTCTCTCCACCTCTCAGGTTAGTTCATTAAATAGTATATATTTTTTAAGACCCTCCAAGTGTCTGGCCAGAAGCTGGGAGTGCTAAGCAAGGTGGCTGGAGCTGAGTTCCCATTCACACCAGTCCACACAGCTAGAGCAGGAAGAAGAACTCACTGGAGAAATTTGCCATCGCGTGCGCCCAGCTTCTCAAGTCGCTGCTCCCGCTCCTCGTCCCTGGCGTGCCTCTTGAGGAGGTTCAGTCGCTCCTCCTCCCGCCACTTGGCATTTTCCATCATTTCCTGACGTTTTCGTTCCAGCTCCTCCGCTGAGAGTTTTCTGTGAGCACAAAACCCCTCCTGTCAGGTCTACGTCTCTCCTAGCTGCAGAGGGAGAGGGAAGTGTGGGACCGAGGCTGTCTGCTCACCACCCTCTTGGAGGAAATGCCCATGCCATGCCATGCTGCCAGGAGCCCCCCTTGATCCTGATACAGGCTCAGGGGATTCACCCAGAAGGACTCCCCCACCTCAGTGACCGCTAACAGGATGACCACAAAGAGAAGATCCTCTATCTGATGGTTCACTCCCCAAGTGACTGCAATGGCTGGAACTCAGCCAGTCTGCAACCAGGAGACCAGAGACTCTTCTGGGTCTCTCACGCGGGTGCAGGGTCCCAAGGCTTTGGGCTGGCCTCGACTGCTTTCCTAGGCCACAAGCAGAGAGCTAGATGGGAAGCGGGGCTGCTGGGATTAGAACCAGTGCCCATATGGGATCCCAGCACATGCAAGGCGTGGACTTCAGCCGCTAGGCTACTGCACCAGGTCTGACTGCTCCAGTTTCAACCCAGCTTTCTGCTTGTGGCCTGGGAAAGCAATGAAAGATGATGCAGGCCCTTGGGACCCTGCACCCACATATGAGACCTAGAAGGGGCTCCTGGATTCAAATCAGCTCAGGTCCAGCTGTTATATGCCAACAGATGGAAGATTTTTCTCTCTGTCTCTCCTTCTCTTTGTAAATCTGCCTTTCCAATAAAATTAAACAAATCTTAAAAAAAAAAAAAAAGGAAAAACAGGGGTTTTGATAGAGGGTTAAGCCACCACATATGTGATTCCAGCATCCCATATGCATGCCAGTCCAAGTCCTGGCTGTTCCACTTACAATCCAGCTCCCTGCTAATGTACCTGAAAAAGCAGTGGAGAATGGCCCAAATTCTTGAGCCCTTGCACCCACATGGGAAATGCAGATGACGCTTCTTGCTCCTGGTTTTGGACCAACTGATACTTCTCTGACCACTGTCATCATGTGGGGAGTGAACCAGTGGTGAGAAGATCCCTCTCACTGTCTGTGTCCCTGCCACTTCCCATAAACTGTCTTTCAAATAAATAAATACTACAGAGAGAGAGAGAAAGAGAGAGAGAGACAGAGAGAAAGAAAGAAAGAGAGAGAGAGAAAGAAAAAGAAAATTAATTATCAGAGGTCCATTAAAGGAATGGAGCCTCATTTTGGGATATAAAATTAACAATATTAAAGCCTAACATTGAGTTATCTATAATGAAATGAGTACTCCCACAATGAAGAGAACAATGTAAGAGACATCAACAAATTGTTGGAAGACAAAAGTAGACAAAGGAATGGTGACACCGTCAGCAAGTAAGAAGAAACTGAATTCTAAGTGCCCAAACCAAGGAGAAGCAGGGTCCACCTGCGCACTCCAGGAGAGCCTCTGTGGTGTCTTATTGCTGTGAGGCTGCCTACATGGGACACCCGCATCCCACACTGGAGGGCTGCTTTAAGTCCCAGCTACGTGGCGTCTAATCCAGCTCCTGCTAATGTGCCCTGCCAACGAGCAGATGATGGAGGGCCACGTGGGAGATGAAGTTCACACCTCCTGACTTCAGCCTGGCCAAGCCCTAGGTATGGCAGCCATGTGGGGAATGAACCAGCAGAGCGATGTCTCTTACCATCTGTTTCTCTGCCTTTAAATGTAGAAATAATCTTTAAACAAAAAGTTGAATGGCACATCAGGGAGACCAACACACTGAGACAGATTAGAGTGAAAGCAGATGGTAGGAAAGACGTAGGGCAGAGCATGAAGAAGCTTAAGCACATGCTAGGACACCACAACCATAAACACCGCCTGCATTTCAAGCCTACAGAGGGACACACGAATCACAGCTCAGCTGAAAGACTAAATTACGCATGTATGCATGACAGACTCCGTCAGTGAAAGCAAAGAAATATGTAAAATATTCTGAGAAGTTGTCAGTCAAAATGAAATCAAATTAAAAAACAAATGTTTCTGGGGCCCAGCACAATGTTTCAATTAGTTCATTCTCTCCTCCAAGTGCCAGCATCTTATACGTGTTCCAGTTGCTCCATTTCTTATCTAGGTCCTTGCTTGTGGCCTGGGAGAGCAGCTGAGGATGGTCCAAAGGCTTGGGACCCTGCACCCACCATGGGAGACTTAAAAGAAGCTCTTGCTTCCTGGCTTTGGATTAGCTCAGCAATAGCTGATGTGGCCAATTGGGAAGTGACCCAGCAGATAGAACATCTTCCTGTCTCTCCTTCTTTCTCTAAATCCACCTTTCCAGTAAGAATAAATCTTTTTAAAAAATGTCTATGCTGGAGCTGGAGAGGGGCATTCCCTTTTCTCTTCTCTCTTAGGAAAAGCTTCTCTGTGGAATCTTCGTGAAAAGCAGCATATTTACAGATGGCAAAGACAATCACTTTCACAAATGCCCATGAAGCTGGAATCACTTGACATATCAGTGTGCTTTGTATAAGGAAGAGGAGGAGGAGAAGTAGATGGGGGGTATGTGAGGGGGCTGGTGTCTGGCCTCAGTTTGGGTGCTTATGCCTCCCATCAGAGCACCTGGCTTCTAAGGCTCCAGCCTCGATACCAGCAGACCCTAGGAATCCCCTGGGGAAGACTTAAGTAACCGATTCCTGCCACCCATGTGGGAAACTTGAATGGAATTCCTGGATCCCAGCTTGAGCCTGGCCCAGCCCATCCTCTGGAGGACATTCGGAGAGTGAACCAACAGATGAGAGAGCGCATTCCACCCTGCTCTCTTTCTGTCATCTGTCTCTCCTCCTGCCTCTTGAATAATCAATCAACTTAAAGAATTGTAAAGTGAATAAAAGGCGGTTTCACAAAGAAGTCACATAAACTGCGCACTAGGCCTCATTTGCGCCATGCCTAGTGCTGGGCCCTCCGCGTCTCAAGGCTCACCTGGTGTACCCGGGAGCATGCCGCCTCTGGTAGACCTCTTTCTTGGGCGACGGACTCTTTGTTTGAGCTCTCTCTCGTCTGTTTACCTTAGAATCATGCCTATAACAGACACAGAAAGGAAAAGCCTTTCAATTTAGGGACTTACAATATATCCCCCAGGAACAGCTGGGGGACTAACAGTCCTAGAACTAGAATCTGAATGGTAAACAACAGAGGGCAGAGTGCAAGAAAAACAAAGGCATCGGGGATTCATAAGATTTTATATTATACCAACTCTAGAGATTTTACTGGTATGACTTATTCCTACAAACATGTGATTCTGGGGGATTGAGCTTTACTGAGGTGGGGAAAAATGATGCGAAAGAATTAGCCAAGTAACGAAATCTGGGAGAGTCAATTAATGGGTATCAGTGAAGGCAAGCAGCAGTGCTGAGCAGCACCCAGCAGGTACAGGTACTATCCAATGAAGTCCCACTTACAGTTTGCTGGGCCTTGGGGACCGTGACCTTCTACCCGGGGATCGAGACCTCCTGTTCGAGGACCCTGTATCCCTGGTGCTTCTCTTGCTGCCATGTCTGGGGGATGAAGGAGAGGAGCTTCGGGAGCGGGATCGGTTCTTCATCCGATGTATGCTTTTCTGCTCAGCCACAAGGTCCTGCGGTCCTTGGTTTCGATCAGAGTTCCTGACCTGTGTCATTAAGGAAAGGAAAATCCAGCATTTCAGAAGATGCTTAAGCCCAGTATGGCAGCCTGGTGGCTAAATTCCTTGCCTTGCATATGCTGGAATCCAATTCGGGTGCCAGTTTGTATCTCTGCTTGTGGCCTAGGCAGTTGAGGATGGCCCAAGGCCTTGGGACCCTGCGCCCGCATGGGAGACCCGAAGGAGGCTTCTGGCTTGGGGTCAGCTAAGCTTTGGCTGTTGTGGCCACTTGGGGAGTGAACTAGTGGATGGAAGATCTTTCTGTCTCTCCTACTCTCTGTAAATCTGACTTTCCAATTAAAAAATAATAATAAAGCTTAAAAAAAATGTGTGAAACAAGAAAGAAAACAGGCAATGTTTGCTAAGGAGCCACAGATAAAGAATACTGAAAAATGGACAAACTTGGAAACTTTATCTTCAGAATCCCCTAGAAGGACAGACCCCCCTCCCAAGCACCTGGTTTGGCTTGGCTCTTCATTGTAACCCAAGGACCAGCCAGGGGGAGAGGCACATAGGACAGGATCTGAGGTTGGAGATACAGAGGGATGTGCATGTGTCTAAAGTTATTCATCAATCAGGTCATTGCTTGGGACGCCTGCAATCCCTTATCAGAGTACCTGGGATTGAGTGCCCAGCTACTCCACTTCCAATTCAGCTACTTGCTAGTGCACATCCTGGGAGGCAGCAGGTGACAATTCAAGAACTTGGATTTTAGCCACCCACCCACGTGAGAGGCTTGTAGTGAGTTATAGGCTCTTGACTTCAGGTGGACCCATTCCTGGCTGTTGTGGGCATGTGGAGACTAAACCAGCAGCTGGGAGAGCCCATCAGCCTCATCTATGCCTTTCAAATAAAACAGATATAATAATAAAGCAGCTTGGGCACAAGCAACAGGCCTATTCCCCAGCAGTCCCATCTTTCCCATTATCAGAGCAACCCATTCCGCAGGCCAGAGCCCCACCTTTAAGACACCCAGTCCCTACCTGTAAGCCGTACCCAGGGACTTTGGACAAGGCCGGGGAGAAGTGTGCCATCTTCTTTTGAGATCTAAGAGAATGAAACACACACTCACTGAAAAGGCACAGAAGTCTGCTTGCCAACCCTCATACCACAACATGCCTTCAGGCTGCACCATGACCTTGACCAGCTACCAGCTACTTCCTGGCAGTGTGTTCCTCTATTGGGGCTGTCTACTGGAGGAAACATCAGCATAGGCGAGTTTTTCCTGTGAAAAACTGTGGGCTGAACAGCTCCAACGCCTAACACATTCCCTTCTCACCTCGTGTTGCTATTCCAGGGACTAATAGTGAGTCAGCAGCAACAGAGCTGACAGTTTCCACGGAGAAGACACGCAGAACGGGCCCATGTGGGCCCATTCACCCATTAAAAACAAAAATCCATCCCACGACAGTGCAGAGGGCTCTGAGGCTGAGACAAAAAAAGTCACGCCTGAGACATCTGACGTCAGACCTGTGAGGCTGCAGTCAGCTCCAGCAAGGGTCTCTCTCCAGTCACAGTCTGGAACTCTAGGGCGACACGGCAGCCCAGCAGGCACGGGGCACATGGCCAAGGGCTTTTAGCCTAGAACCCTGTGACCGAGAGGCAGTCAATGCGAGGGTGGCCTCCTGGGCTCACCTGCTCCGGCTGTGCTCCTCATCACTGCTGGAACGATCACTACTGGAGCTTCGGTGCTTGTGTTTCTTATGCTTCTTCTTTTTCTCCTTCTTTTTCTTCTTCTCCTTTTTTACCAGACTCATTTGCAGCTGAAAAATGCGCAGAACATACAATTAATGAGACCGGATCCAAGGGACTGGGACACGCACAAACTGCCTGATGCCATGCTCCTAAAGCAGACCAGGCCTTCACCAGAAGGTTTGTGGCAGCAAAGGGGAGGAGGCTGGTAACTCTGCCTATACACAACTCTCCACTGCCCACTGAACCCATCTCGGGTGGATGGGTTGCACATCTGTGTTCTGCAACAGTCTCTGAGTCACGGCCAAGGACTTTCCATTCTTTGTCAAAATCACTCCAACTTCACTGAAAGTAATTAAAGATTGCAAGGTCAGTCTTGAACTTTTCTTACCAACTGATGGAAGAATCAATCACATCATGAGCCATGTGTGTAGCTAATAGGTCCTCAAAGCATTATACCATGCCAGCCAGAGGGCACACTCTGACCTCAGAAACACACTGCAGAAACCTGCTCTCCAGAATATCCCACATACCTCCTTTCCCACAGAAATGATACCCCATGCTTTTACTAACCAAAGACAGAAAGAGGAAATAAAATTTAATAAGTTCAGATTGCAGAGCAGGAGTTTGATGTGTGGTGGTTAAGATACCACTTGAAATAATCACATTTCATCTCACCGTGCTTGGTTCAAGCCCCAGTTCCACTACTGATTCTGCACCCAGGGAGGCAGTAGGTACAGGTGGAAGATGGAATATCTGCACCCACACTGAGCTCCCAGGACCTAGCCTCAGCCTGGTCTAGGACAAGCTTATATCTGCATCCGAGGAGTAAACCAGTGGATAGGAAATCTCTGGTTCGTTACATGTTTGTCTCTCCCATTTCTCTACCTTTAAAAATGAATGAATTGGGGCCTAGCAAGATAGTGTAGTGGTTAAGGTACTTGCCTTGAATGTGCCAAGACTGCATATGGGCCCCTCTTCCCATCCAGCTCCCTGCTTGTGGCTTGGCAAAGCAGTCAAGGACGGCCCAAAGCTTTGGGACCCTGCACCCACATGGGAGACCTGGAGGAGGCTCCTGGCTCCTGGCATCGGACTGGCTCAGCTCCAGCCATTGCGGCCACTTGGGGAGTGAATCATAGGACAGAAGATCTTCTTCTCTATCTCTCCTTCTCTCTCTTCTTTCCAATGAAAAATAAATAAATCTTTTTTAAAAAATTAATGAATTGGAACCCAGAGTGATGGCTCAATTGGCTACTCTTCCCTCTTCAAGCACTAGGATATCATTTTGGAGCTGGTTTGTGTCCCAGCAGCTCCACTTCCCAACCAGCTCCCTGCTTGTGGCCTAGGAAAGCACTCGAGGATGACCCAAAGCCTTGGGACCCTGCACCCTTGTTTCAGACCCAGAAGAGTCTCCTGTCTCCTGGCTTCAGCTCAGCTCAGCTCCGGCTGCTGCAGCCATTTGGGGAGCAAACCAGTAGATGGAAGATGTCTGTCTCTCCTCTCTGTAAATGTACCTTTCCAATAAAATAAATCTTATAAAAAATTCTTACTACTTACTTGATGCACAACTTACCAATTCTTTGATTTTCTTCATTTTCACAGGATTATTCAATACCTCTCTTTTTTTCTCCTCTTCCTTCTTCCTAAATAGAGAATGTTACACAAATCACAACTGTTCCTTTCGGAAAAGGGAGTCAATCATTCTAATTTTTGAACTTCATGTAAGAAACTGCCAAACACACAGGGACAGATATTACGTTGAAATCTACCCGGTGGTGTAGAAGCCTCAAGCTTCCCCAAACCTGCACACAAGCTGGCATACTGTGGAGAAAGTCTACACTGGTGGACCCTCATGCAAGTGAGCGTGTTTGGTCTCTCTCTGCTTAGGCTTCGTGCTCAAGGTTTCACAACTGATCAAGTAACGGGCATCATCCTGTCATAACTGGTGGCTGGAGAGCAGTTTAGCACGAGAAACACCTGGGAAATAAAGAGAACTGATTTCTATTTCAAGAAGTCTTACTCTCTGGGCCTGCACTGTGGCACACCAAGTAAAACTGCAGCCTATCATGCTGGTAACCCACGTGGGCTCATGCCCCGTGTGCTCCATTCCCCATTCAGCTTCTTGTTAATGGTCCGGGGAAAGCAATGGAAAATGGCTCAAGTATGGCGTTCCCTGGCATCACATGGGAGACCCAGATGAAGCTCCTGGCTTCAGCCTGGCCCAGTAATGGCCACTGCAGGCATCTAGGGAGTGAATCAGCAGATGGAAGATCTCCGTCTCTCCCTAACTCTGACTTTCAAAGAAATAAACAAATCCTTAAATAGAAGCAAAGAAAAAAAAAAGTCTTACTCTCTGGAGCAGACAAGCTTAACAGGAAAGATTCCAGATAAAACACTTTTTGGGGGCCTGGCGCATTAGCCTAGTGGTCAAATCCTTGCCTTGCAACTGCCAGGATCCTGTATGAATGCGGATTCCTATCCAAGTTGCTCCACTTCCCATCCAGCTCTCTGCCTGTGGACTGGGAAAGCAGCAGAAGATGGCACAAAGCCTTGGGATCCTGCACCCACATGGGAATCCCAGAAGCTCCTGGCTTCAGATCAGCACAGCTCCATCCACTGTGGTCAGTTAGTGAACCAGCAAATGGAAGATGTTTCTGTCTCTCCTTCTCTCTGTAAATCTGCCTTTCCAATAAAATTAAATCTTATTAAAAAAAAAAAAAAAAAAAACCAGAAGAAGCAGCCCATAGTCTGCTTTCTGCCAGCTACTTTCACTCAAGGGCCAAAGCCCAATGAGTAAACCTGGGCTGGTACACTTGCCAACATCTTTCCCTAGGGCCTAAGTCAGGCTCCCATATGGAGCTACTTCTCAATATCATGAAGTCCAAATGGAGACAGATCCTTTCACGTGGCAGATTAAGCCAGGGAAACCAACTGCAAAGAGAAGGAATCCACAGCCTTGGCAGAGTCTAACCTTAAAGTACCTCTGCAACCCTCCTCTGGCCCAGCCCCTCCTCAGTACCTGATGATGAAGAGCGGGTCCTCCCGGATTTTGCTGGCCACGTCGAGAAGGGAATTGGCACCCGAAGGGGCAAAGATCGAGCCTGGGAGGAGTCCTGTCTCAGAGGAGCAGCCTGCCTCTTTCTCCTCCATCTTCTCAAAAACGTACTTGTCAATGGGACGCCCCAGCAGATACTCATCACGATTCACCATCCCCCCTGGGCCCTGGTACATCCAGTCCAATTTTTCTTCCTTCTTCCTGGTTCAAAGGAAAAAACAAAACAAGACAAAAAATACAATTAAAGCAAATATAGACTCCTGTAAACCTACACAGAAACACTGTACTGATGAGAAGAGGATGTAGTTTACAGCCACCGATGACCGGCACATCACTGGACTCTACAAGCAGACAAAACAGTGCTTCACCTTCCTGGAGAATTTTCACACATGAAAACAACTCAAGTGGAAAAATGCCTGTGGTGCCGGCATCCCATATGGGTAATGGTTCATGTTCTGACTACTCCACTTCCCATCCAGCTCCCTGCTTACGGCCTGGGTAAGCAATGGAGAACAGCCCAAAGCCTTGGAACCCTACACTCACGTGGGAGACCCAGAAAAAGCTCCTGCCTTCAAATCAGCTCAGCTGCATCTATTGTGGCCGTTTGGGGAGGGAAGCAGCAGGTAGATCTTTCTCTGTGTTTCTCCTTGTCTCTGTAAATCTGCCTTTCCAATAAAAATAAATAAATCTTTCTAAAATTTTTTATTTATTTGGAAATCAGAATCAGAGATCTCTCATCTGCTGGCTCACTTCCCAGTCGACTGTATAACAACAAGGGCTGGTCAGGCCAAAGCTCCAGCTGGACTTCCACTCTGGGCAAGAGGAGCCCAGCAGCTGGCAGGGAGCTGGACCATACTGCCACAACTGGGACACGAACTGCAGTCCATATGGAATGCCAGCATCACAGGCAGTAGCTCAACGTGCGTTGCCACGGTACCAGCCCCCAGCTCCTGAACACACTTAACAGAAGTAATTTAAACCAACTCTGGAGGGCCTGACCCTGTGGAATATTCCTCCTACTAAGAGGACAGGTTTGAGAAACATTACAACCCGTAATTAAGATTTGATCCTGCGCCACTGGGTCCTGCTCATCTAGCTCACCGGTGACTGCTCACCCGGCTGGAGTCAGGATGCAGGAGTACATGGGAGAGCTGTGCTGGTGAACTGTGACCCATCGCGGCCAGGCCTCACCATGAGTGTCATGTGGTGTCTTCCCAGCAACCAAAGGTGCTTTACATTCTCTAATTGGACTAAACCACAGACCAGGAGGAAGCTGCACAGCTATTAGACACGGGCACTGCTGAGCAAGTGAACGAGGTGAGCCCGGGCTCCCCAGTGAGAGACGAGCCTGGCAGTTCCGGGAGTTTAGTGCTCTCTGGCTACAGCACCGTGGTTCCGCCAGAAAGAAGGGCAGCCCTGGAAATCCCTCAGCAGTGGCACCGCACAAGAGCCACATGGCATCAAGAAAAGGCCCGGGACCACAATGGCAGGTAGCATTCTGCTGGACTTCCCTGAAAAAGTTGGTAGATTCTTGGCAGGATTTGCCCCTGGGCAGTCGTCCAATACCCCCAGGTTGGCTGAAGATCCCTCAACGTAGCCTTCAACCAGCTCTCAATCTTACTTTTAAGAGGCTACGAACAATATCAGTAAAACCCCTTTCTGCTGCTGTCTGAAAAGCCAGCATCCCATGTGGACACCAGTTGTGTCCCGGCTACTCACTTTCATTCCAGCTTCCTGCTAATGCCCATGGGAAAGCAGTGGAACATGGCCCAAGTGTTGGGCCCCTGCAGCAGCCATGTGGCACGCTGGGAAGAATTTTCTCGTTTCAGCCTGCCCTAGCTGGTGGTTGCAGCCATCTGAGGAGTCAACAGGCAGATGGACAATCTCCCTCTCTGTAACCCTGATTTTTTTTTTTAATAAATAAATAAAATCTTCCAGAAAAAACAAAACAGCTTTCCTTGAATTTCTTTGAGAGACTATGATATAATTCAAGAAGGATTTCAAAAGACCAAAGTTATAGCCTATTTTTAAAACCACATGAGGGGAGCCTGTCATGGTAAAGTTCCCGCCTTGCACACGCTGGGATACCATATGGGCACCAGTTGGTGTCCCTGCAGTCCCACTTCCCATCCAGCTTCCTGCTTGTGGCCTGGGAAAGCAGTTGAGGCTGGACCAAGGCCTTGGGACCCTGCAGCCACGTGGCAGTCCTAAAAGAAGCTCTTGACTGTTAGCGTCAGATCAGCTCAACTTTGGCTATTGTTACAAAATTTAAATTTAACTAATAATTAGCCAGAGGTGGAAACTGAATCCAGGTCTCCAATGTCACCTGATGGTCTTACAGATGTAATATCATGGGGAGCACAGCCAGGCGGGCAGTGTCTTAGCCACTATACCAAATGCTCTCCCCACCCGTTACTGGTGCAGGGGTCCAACCATACGGCTCATTCTTCACTGCATTCCCAGGCACATCAGCAGGGAGTGGGTCTGAAGTAGAGCAGTTGCTTCTTGATCTGGAACCCTTATGGGATGCTGGACTGCAGGCTGCGACTTGACTTAAGTGTACCACAGTACAGGCCCCATGACTTGTTTATTTGAAAGACAGAATGACAGAGGGGCCCGGAGCAGTAGCCTAGTGGAAAAGCCCTCGCCTTGCATGTGCTAGGATTGCATATGGGTGCCGGTTTGTGTCCCGGCTGCCCCACTTCTCATCCAGCTCCCTGTCTGTGGCCTGGGAAACCAGTAGAAGATCGCACAAAGCCTTGGGACCCTGCACCTGTGTGGGAGACCTGGAAGCAGCTCCTGGCTTCAGATCGGCAGCTACGGCCACTTGGTGAGTGAATCAGCAGAAAGAAGATTTTTCTCTCTGTGAATTTGATTTTCCAATAAAAATAAATCTTTAGAAAAAAAATAATGACATGGTAGGGGTTGGGAGGAGATAAGCAGCTTCCATCTCTTGCTTCACTCATCAAATGCCTGTAACAGCCTGGGTTAGGCCAGGCTGAATCCAGGAGCCAGGAACTCCATCCATCCAGGTCTCCCATGGGGATGGCAGGGTCCAAATACTTGCCCTCTCATCCCTTGCCTCCCAGGTTCTTCAGCTGGGACTGGAAGTATGACGGAGCTGGGACCAGAACCAGGCACTCTGATGGGAAATGCAGTCATCCAATCAGTGCCTTTCCCCACAGTGTTTCTTTAGCATTTACTGATACCACTGTAAGAACTGTGTTTACTAGACAGGTGTCTATCCTAGAGCTGCTCTACCAGCGCACTTCAGAGTGGGCGTGGAAGAGGAGAGACAAAGAGGCCCACCTGCTGATGCTCTTGGGGGAGGAGATCTCAGTATTCTCAGGGGCGTACTGACAGCTTAGCTGAGGGTCCTGGGGTCCTCACCGGAGTGGTCACAGCACTGTCAGGTGAGTTGTCAGCTTGTGTACCTTACCTAGGCAACTCATCCGCCTCCATCATATTGTTTTTTAGGATTTATTTATTTTGGGGCTCAGCATGGTGGCCTAACAGCTAAAGTCCTCGCCTTGAGCGCACCAGGATCGCATATGGGTGCCAGTTCTGATCTAGTGGCCCTGTTTCTGAACCAGCTCCCTGCTTGTGGCCTTGCAAAGCAGTCAAGGACGGCCCAAAGCCTTGGGACTCTGCACCCATGTGGGACACCTGGAGGAGCTTCTGCCTCTTGCCTTTGGATCAGCGGATTGGCACAGTTCTGGCCATTGTGGTCACTTGGGGAAGTGAGTCATCGGACAGAGGATCTTCCTCTCTGTCTCTCCTTTTCTCTATATATATCTAACTTTGCAATAAAATAAAATAAGTCTTAAAAAAAGATTTATTTTGGGCCCGGCACAATGACTCAATGGCTAAATCATCACAGCACTAGATGATCCAAATCAGATCTGCCTTTCCAATAAAAGCACATCAATCTTAAAAAAAGGGAGAGCACATCAATCTTTAAAAAAAAGGGGGAGGGGGGACAGATTTACAGATATACTCACAGGGGATCTTGGTGCTTGCAGGGGAGGATTGAGCCATTGTGCCGCGCCCCCAAAGTTCAATTTTTAAAAACAATCTGAAATAATTTTTAGCTTCAGATAGTGGAAATTTAAACTCTTGGCATTTTTGGGTACTCACTCTAAAATCAGTATTTTTTTTCTTATTTTTATTTATTTATTTTAAACATTTATTTTTATTTGAAAGGCAGATTTACAGAGAGAAAGATCTTCCATCCACTGGTCCATTCCATAACTGGCCACAATGGCCTGAGCTGAGCTGATCCAAAGCCAGGAGCAAGGCGCTCCTTCAGGGCCTACCACACAGCTGCAGGGTCCTAAGGCTTGGACCATCTTACTGTTTTCCCAGGCCATAAGCAGGGAGCTGGATCAGAAGAAGAACACCCAGAACACTAACCAGTGCCCATAGATGGAAGATTTTCCTGCTGCACGACTGCTCTGGCCAAAATCAGTATGTTTTAAAACAAATGTTTAGGGCTGGCATTGTAGGGCAGCAGGTTAAGATGGATACCATGGATGAGCACCATAAGGCCCCAGTTGTTCTACTAGGATCCAACCCCTACTAATGTGCCTCCGATAGCAGCAAACAATGGCTCAAGTCCTTGGAACCTTGCAGCTGCGTGGAGGACACAACTGAAGATCCAGGTTCCTGGTTTCTGCCTGACCCAGCCCTGACTGCTCTTGCCATTTGGGGAGTGAACCAGCAGCTGGAAGATCTGTCTTTTCTCTAATTCTGCTTCTCAAATAAATATGTAAATCTTCAAAAATATATAAATAAGACCAAAGTTTCATAAAATACAAAATTCTACAGTTTACATTATGTATTCACCTTGTAAGCTACCTAGAATGTGATGCTAATTTGTGAAATTGCTTTACATTTTAAATTATAGCATAACATAACATAAAGCACATAATTTAAACTATGCAAAGTAAGCTGTGGTAAAATGCTTAATTTCATTATTTTACATATTGATATACTGTAAATATTATATTGTATTTAAAAATTCTACAACTGCATGAATTTTTTTCCAAATTTTATACATTGAGGCAGAATCATCTTCTCTCAATTCATTTTCCTAGAAGAATGTGACTGTTCTCCCATTTATGTCCCTAACACCTTCTGCACAAACTGAAACAATCTGACATCCATGACCTTGGACATTGCAAACCTTCACGTGGTGACACACTAAGAAAAAGCCCACACATCCCATAGGGGGATGGTGCCGAACACCACTCTGATGCCCCACTACCGAGGACAGAGACACAAGTACGGAGGGGTCCCTTCCAGCTAGCTCTGACTTTACAGGACTGGGGACGCACTGCACAGTTCTGCCACTGGTTCCCCAGAAGGTATTCTCTCCTATCTCCTTTGAGGAAAAGGCAGATGATTGGGTGCTGTTCCTACACTGCTCCCGGGTCATGGACATGGCAGCAGTGGGACGTTGCCATGCACTGCCCGAAGTCACTGCTTCTGCTGACAGCCATGCCCTTCGCCTCCTCCACAGGACCTCATGGCCCGGGAGCACCTGCAGGGCAGCTCCATCAGCAAGACTGAGGCCTCGGAATACACTGAGCAGCACACTCGTCGCAGCCCTCCTTATCCCAGCTATCTGTCAGTAAGCATCCATAACAAACATGACCTGTGCTGTCCTTTCCCTACCATCCTCTCAGATCCCCAACAATGTGAAGGAGTTGCAGCCATGATTACCTCGGTTCTACTGGGATAATCAAGGTCCCCAAATCTGCTCCTAGCTACACAGCTGATACAGGTGAAGCAAGCCCTACAGTTCAAGCATGTCTGACTTCAAAACCCATGTCTTCCCAAGCCAACCTAGCTCATAGCACCTGCTGGCATATACAGCAGGCCAAGTCTGGGCATGGGCATGGACCTGGTTGAGATTCTTGAGGGTCATCTCAACAAGGCTGCAGCATCCGCCAGCACACATGAGGCTAGGTCTGGGGATAGACAAGGCTGGGCTGGGCTACAGTGTTCATAGGCACACATGAGACCCTATCTGGGGACCAACTCAGCTGAGGCTCTTAGGAGTCAGCCCAAGAGGTCCACTCTACCCAATCCCCAAACTCAGGGACCACCACAGAGACACCCAATCTGGCCTCAGAGCACGTGTTGCAAGACTGGATCACCCCGTTGCTGACTTCATGTAAGGAAAAACAACATACTGGGATGCACACAAAAGACAACTGGCCTCTCTTGTTCACAGAGTACCTTGAGTGCCTCACTAAACGATGGAAAAAGCAGGTTGAAAACACTACAAGCCAAATCCTGCACCAAGCATCTAAGGCTATGGATGTACCAAAATAGATAGTCAGCAAGTATAGGAGGTGGTCTCTCACACCTGGAACAAAGCCAACATCATTTCAAAACATTCAAGACTACTCAAGTAACACCCTCAGGACATCTTCCCCCATATCAGGGTCCCTGGGACAAAAACACAGGACCATTGCTGTCCCTTGGCGCTGATGTGATCGGACAGAATCTGACAGTCAGATGCCCCTCAGTGCGGGGTAGCTGTGGGGAAGGTACACATGTTGGCAACATCTTCCCCCACCACACCCACACACGCACTCCTCATAATCACAGAAGGGAAGGGGTATTTTTCTCCTCACACACCTCATCCCTTCCCATCCCACCCAGACCTGCGTGAGTGTGCAATCCCCCTACCTATGTAACAGACATTTGAAAATAAATAAATTTAAATGTAAAACAAAAACCAAAAAGCCTCCCCTTGACCACTGAGCAACAAGTCCCCCCACCCCTGCAGGCCCGCACACCCAGCCCTGCCATACTTGACAGCGCCGACATCTTCGGCATAGCGCTGCATCTCCTCCCGGGCCCGCTCCTCCCGCAGTTCCCGCTGCAGCTCCTCAATCTTCTTGCGCTCAGCCTCATGCTTCTGCTCTGCCTTCCACACCTTCTCCACATTGCGCAGGGTCTGTGGGTGCCAGCTCTTCTTCAGATTCTGTGAGGGAGAGGAGAGAGCCAGTGATTCAGGGAGTGGGTGGATGGTGAGTGAGAACAGCCCTGCCTCACTCACTCCTCCATCAACAATTCAAGCCAGGGCACGAACTCCAGGGGCGGGCAGGGCATGCCCAAACAGGTGAAGCTCCAGGACAGCACAGGTCCTTCCTGGGCTCCATGTACTTCTAATCTTAGACGTATCCAAGTCAGACTCCCACCCACCAGGCCAAAGCAGGAGGTGGGGATGGAGAACGAGGAGGAATGGGGCAGCTGTGGGGAAGGTACACATGTTGAAAATTGAGGAACTCCAGCTTCTTTGGCACTGCGGATCGACTTTTTTTTTTTTTTTTAACAGCTCTGACAAGTTACCTCTTCTCCTAAAAGCCTTGCAAAGGCTGCAGCTGACCTGCGAATGCATCTGGCCAAGCAGCAGCAAACGGTCCCAGCACTGGCAATTGTTATAAGAACAGCCCAAATTAAACAGACCGCCATGGGGTCCTGGAACTCAACCTAGCTGAGCTGGACAATACCTGACACAGTCTAACGGGGTTCCCGAACAGGCAGTAGGGCCCCCAGACAAGTGGCAAAACAGAACTTGGGCTGACTTGATGCGCTCCACATCCTACAGGTTAGTTTCTCATGATCTTCCCTCACACTCAAGGCCGTACACTTACCCTGCTTGGGGCCTGCATCCCTTACAAATGAATTACGCAAGAAACACCATCAGTTCAGAATCCTATATATGCAGTACACGGAATATGCTCGCCTTATGTCAATAATTTTTTTTTCATCTAAGTGCTACGAATTCAGAAGAAAACTCCCTTAATACAAATCACAAAGCAACATAGAGGAATCAACAGCAGAGAAAGGTGGGCTGAAAATAGGGCCCTAAAGAGGCTGGGCGAGGCTCAGGACCAGGGTTGGGGTGAAGCGCAAACTACTGCAGCCCAGGGACACGAATCTGAGTTCCCCACCAAGCAAGGCAAATGTGGCCGATGGAAACACCCCAGTGCCCACAAGGTACACCCGGCCCACGGCGCTCAGCTCGTCACGGACCTAACGATGCCCTCAGCTCCCCGCTCCAGCACCCCTGCACCTCCCACTCCCACCCCTGCCCTTCCGGTCCGGCTCTCCACGGACCTAACGATGCTCTCAGCTCCCCCACGGACCTAACGATGCTCTCAGCTCGCCGCTCCAGCACCCCTGCACCTCCCACTCCCACCCCTGCCCTGGTCCCAGTCCGACTCTCCGGCCTCAGGTCTTGCTTACCAGGTCTCCGCCCCCCATGGCGGCGGTGCTAACGTTGCCTCACTACGCCGAACTGAAGGACTCAGGGCGGATCGGAGGAATCGCAGAGATAATCCGCAGGGACTGCCTCCAGGGGATCGGCTCCCGGGAGACGCCACCGGCCTCCTTCAACGCCAGCGGTGAGCGACACTTCCGGGAGTAGCGTCATCTCACCGTGTCGGCGTCGCGTGGCGGTGACGTGCTTACACCCTCGGCCGGCAGGGAGGTAACGTCACGAGTGGGCTCAGCTGTACCCAGAGCTCAGCCATGGCGGCCGGAGGGTTCCCAGACAGGAAGCTGGAGCGTCCGAGCCCGAGCTCTACCCGACTTCGCCCACACGAGACCCGGGTTGAGGGAAAGCCTCCTTTCACACAGCCCCACACCCCTTAACGGCCTTTCACACTGGCACGGTCCACAGTCCTCGGCTTGCCTCCAGCCCCGTAGCTCTAGAAGCCATCTCGTCGAAATGCCGTCTGCCAAAATCTTTTTTCTTCTTTGTCTCTTACATTCTGACTTTTCAAACTGCTCTCCTTCTGTACCAGCTATTCATAGGCTTTCACGCAAAGATGGGCGAACCCCAAATGCTTGTTCCAACCTTCCAAGTTCTACGTCTGTCTGGAAGGCATTGCTTGCCGGGTGGACGCCCGAGGTCAGCATGAACTCAGGAGAGCCCCTGTTTCGGCTCTAACCACCCCTGTTGCTGCTGCTTTTCCATCCAGACTTCATCCTACACCTCCTCCCTCCAACATCCAGTCAGACACCAGGACAAACTGCCAAAGCTCTCAAGTCCATCCATGGACTCCATCTGTCCTCATTCAGCACCAGCCTGATGCGGGCCACCAACATCTCTTAGTTCTAACGCTCTCATTTCCCCCAATTTCCATGGTTTATACTGCTTCATAGCTACAAATGATTCTCCTCAAAGGCAAATCTGATCATTTATTCACACGTGAAACCTACACCTGTTTCAAAAGCCTACAAGTTTAATGCAAAGCCTTTCACAACCTGACCTCATGCATGAGAATCCTTTTTTTTTTTAATGTTATCTTTCTTTTTTAAGATTAATTTATTTGGGGGCTGGTGCGGTGGCCTAGCAGCTGAAGTCCTTGCCTTGAATGTACTGAAATCCCATATGGCGAACAGTTTTTGTTTTTTTTTTTTTTTTAAGATTTATTTTGATTGGAAAGGCAGATATACAGAGAGAAGAGAGAGAGGAAGATCTTCCATCCGATGATTCACTCCCCAAGTGGCTGCAACGGCTGACACTGAAACAATCCAAATCCAGGATCCATGAGCTTCTTCCGGGTCTCCCACGTGGGTGCAGGGTCCCAAAGCTTTGGGCCGTCCTCAACTGCTTTGCAAGGCCATAAGCAGGGAGATGGATGGGAAGCAGGGCTGCCAGGGCACGAACTGGCATATGGTATCCTGGTGTGCAAGGTAAGGGACCTTAGCCGCTAAGTTACCACACCAGGCCTATTTCTTTTTTTTTTTTTTCTTTTTTTAATTGGAAGGTCAAATATGCAGGAGGAGAGACAGAAAGATGATCTGCCCATTGATTCACCCACAAGCAGCCACAACAGCCAGAGCTGCACCAATGTGAACCCAAGAGTCAGGAGCCTCCTCTGGGTCTCCCACGCAGCTGCAGAGTTCCAAGGCTTTGGGCTGTCATCTACTGCCTTCCCAGACCACAAGCAGGGAGCTAGATGGGAAGCAGAGTAGCTAGGACCAGAACTGGCATCCATATGGGATCCTGGTGTATTCAAGGGGAGTACTCCAGCCACCAGGTTACTACACTGGGCCCAAGATTTGTTTCTATTCATGGAAAATTTTGCACTGTTTTATTCCCTGGTCACAATGTCTAGGGTGGGCCACACCAAAGTTGGGAGCCTGGAAATACATATGGGTTTTCCACATGAATGGCAGGAGCCCAAGCACTTGGGTCATCCTCCATTGCTTTCCCAGCCACATTAACAGCAAGCTGGATTGGAAGGGGAGCAGCCAGGAATTGAACCAGAGGTCTTCACATGGGATGCTGGCGTAGCCTTCTGAGCCATAATGCTGGCAACATATCCCTTTACAATTTAGAAACAAATACATAAGAAATCATAGCCCCAGGGCGGTAGCCTAGTGGCTAAAATCTTTGCCTCACATGTGCCATGATTCCATATGGGTGCCAGTTCTAATCCTAGCAGCCCTGCTTCCCATCCAGCTACCTGACTGTGGCCTGGGAAAGCAGTCAAGGACGGCCCAAAGCCTTAGGACTCTGCACCCACATCAGAGACCTGGAAGAGCTCCTGGCTTTGGATCAGCACAGCTCCGCTCCGGCGGTTGTGGTCACTTGGGGAGTGAATCATCGGACAGAAGATCTTCCTCTCTGTCTCTCCTCCTCTATATATGTATCTGACTTTGCAATAAAAATAAGTAAATCTTTTAAAATTAACTTTAAAAATACTTTATAATAGAAGAAATCATATCTATAAAAAGTGGATGTGTGTTTGTGAAACTAAACCTTTCTTCACCATCAGATGCCTCTTGTCTTCCTCCTCTGTCACCTCCCATCAGACTGAAAGTTCTTTGGAAACATGGACCATCTTCCATCTCTTTAATTCACAGCAGTTTCACATGTACTTCATTTCAAAATATGTGGTAAGTGAACATTTATCTCTTTATCTCATCATACACCAGATTGCCAAAGTTTGTTCACAGCTTTCAGGTCTAACCCTAAATGCTCAAGATTTAGAACTTCCTTGGGGATTCTTCCTTCAGTGAAGCCTGGGCTGGAAGAGGGGTCCTACAGTGGGTTTGGGCTGGTTGTGGTTAGAAGTTGACAAGAGGCTATATTCCAGAGCAAGAAGGAATTGAAAGTTCTTTGTCTTTTCCAGCAAAGGAGAAACTGTTGTTGCCACCAATATTTACTCTAATGTCTGTTTACAAAAGAGGAGGGGGCACCCGGATTTGAACCGGGGACCTCTTGATCTGCAGTCAAATGCTCTGCCCCTGAGCTATACCCCCACACCCACTTGCTGACCTCTTGTTTGTCCATTTAATGGTGAGTCAGCTCAATCAGGTTCCACCCACACAAGAGTTCTAACTGGCTTTGTGTTCTGAGGCCTCTCCTCCTATCATCTACTTTGGCTTTTCTCCTGTAAACAGGGTGGTGACACTCATAGGACTTGAGACAGCAGCTGTAAAGGACTTAGCACAGCAGAGGAAATGCCTGCACACCCAGTAAGACTTTACCAGAAGCCTGGTATGCAAGAACACCCAAAATATTGTCTGGTTTACCTGCTACTTTTGTGGGGAGAATTGAGAGCATTCAGGAGAAGAAAGATGCCTATCATTTCAAATAACCATCAGGAAATTCTTCTCAATACAAACTACCAAGGCTGTGGCCACACTGCCTGCTCTGCTCTAGATGGAGAAGGTAGCCAGCTTCTGCACCCGGGGCCCTGCTGGGAGCTGGGAATCACTTTGCTGGGGATTAAGAGTGGCTTGGTTGTTATCATACCAAGGGGTGGGTGTGGGTGGGTTGGGGGGAGCACTGAGGCTTCTTGGCCCTTGCATACCCCCTTCCCCCCAACCACCCCAGAGGCTGAGAGTGGAGAAGCGAATTCCTCTTCTCAGCTCAGGAAAGAAACAATGGACTCATAGACACAAATAAGATTTTTATCTGTACAATTGCATGAAGAGTCTATCTAAACACTTGTTTTAGCAATTGAACTGGGAGGGCTGGAGAGAGCAGAGGAGAGAAAGGGAGGGCAGGGATGGTGTTAGAAGAGAGGGAATGGAGTAACCTCTCCAAAGACTGATACATGCTGGCGGAGGGCAGGGGTGTTCCGGCGGTAGCCAAACCGACCATTGAACCCAGTGACGAGTTTCAGATCTCTGTTGTAGTGATCATGCCCGGTCACCTGCTGGAGAGAGTGCCCTTGGGGGTGGAGAGAGAGAGAGGAGAGAGAGGCATGAGTCTGCTGCACCTGGCCCTTCTCCCATGCACCTGGGATGGAAGTTCAGCCAAGCTCCCAACAGCCATGGCTGAGCACTCAATCCTCAGACATTCTGCACCTCTTGACTCTTGGCACCACAGGCTGGTGAGGCCAAGAAAGTAGGAGGTTTCCTAGAAATTAAGCCCCTAGCAGGCTTTGCAGTGAAAGGATCTATGAATATGTCACACTGGGACAGGAGGTTTCAGAAACTTTGGGGGTGTGGCTGAATTTGTTTTGTGTTCAGAAAATGTTGAAAATTGTCTCTACTGCCTCTGAGGCATCTGGAGAAAATGGATGACATCAAATTCTGTGGTCCAGGAGGTCCTGTGATATGACTGGATGGGAGTTGAAGGGAGAAGGAGTTGGGTGGGAGAAGCAGTGGAAATTTCAACCTCAGCTCAACTCTTTGTAGTAGATCCCCTTGGAGTCACTATGCCTCAGTTTCCCCAGCTGTAACAAAGGAAGGCAGGAGGTTTGGAGACATTGCCATAGGCATATGAGAGAAGGGGCACTGGGCCAACACCTGCTCACTCACCCCAAGAGAAACTATGCCTGGGGCATCCTTCCCCAGATGGGCTTCTCTCTGCAGCCCAGCTTCTTCTCTCCAAATTGTGGGACTGCAGAGTGAGGCAGGAAAGCAAGGTGACACTTGCCTGCCCCTGCCCAGTTTCTCCTGTTAAGGTATCGCTGTCCTTGTCCGAAGATATGGAAATAATCTACTACCCAGCCATCACGTCCTGTACCGCCATGATCCTGCAAGTGAGGAAGAAAAGTCAAGACAGCCATTAGCCACCACATGGGCAGATGTGAGCCTCAGAACAGTCAGTGCTCTCAGAGAGGCGCAGGGGATGGCTACACAGACCCAGCCCTGCCATGCAGCTTGGCAGGCACTGTAGGGAAGGTGTCCAGCTCTGTCAACAGCAGGCCATGTCACCTAAGGTCAACTCTTCCAGCCTCTCTGGCCTTCAATTTCCTGATCAGTACAAGGAGGGCCATGATGAGATTTAAGTGACTTGGTTCAGATGCAGGGCCTGGCATGGCGTGAATGTCACAAACATTATTTAAATGACAACATCCACCACATAGAGTGATTCCGATGGTTAAAAGAATGTCTTCAATACATAATCATCTTTAAAAGAAAAAAAAAAAAACAATGCCTCCAATATTAAAAGGGTTCCCCAGATGTTCACAGGTTAGTTCATAAGGCTCCTGGAAACCTTATGGAGTTCACATGCGGCTGTTGTCATGCTCAGTGTTTCCCACAGCCTATCTGGCATCCCCCTCTCACACAGGCCCTTCAAAGACTAAGGCCTTGGACCCCTGCTCCTTCTGTCGTGGGTTAGGTTAGCAGATGCACAGATGTGTGTCCACAACAGGGTGGGGGAAGTGGGGAGGGCGTGGACAAAAGAGAAGAAAACCTAAAGCAAGTTTCCCTTTTGTGCCGGCCCTGCCCACCAGGGCACACAATCACCAGGACCGTGGTTCCACATTGTGGCCATGGAGAGGAGCCTTTCAGTACACCCCGCCCCCTCCCCCCCACACACACACTCATAGGAGAGACACAAGCCCACAGCCATGAACAAACAGCCCTAGAGTCTGATCCCAGAAGCACCAAGCTGGTGTGGGGCCCACCATCCAAGAGGGGCAAGAAGTGGATTGGTCAGATTGGGATATTTTCTTCTCAGGGTCTACATGGAGCCAGTGTTGAGCTCCACGCCCCACACCTATAACATCACAAGAGGGAGGCACCTTGCCTAGTGTTGGTCACAAGATTTTCGAGTGTTTTAGAACGTGGGGTGCGGTCACCCCATTGGGCAGGCCTGTGACGTCACAACGGACAAACAAACCATTTATTTGGGAGATGCAAGCCTTAAGCCCTTGCAGAAACTCGACATGAGGCTATTATCAAGTTTCGCGGTGGAAGGCGCTTGTGAGCTCAGCTGGACTACAACTTGTCATGTCCTTCCTGAATTCTCCATTAATAACACCAAGGGGTGGGGAGTTGGGGGAGCCTCCGCTGGGTGTGCACCTGTGTGGCCCCACCACCAGTACGAGCTTCAAACCGGTGGAGACTCCTGTACCTGATGGGTTTTGCGCAAAATGGGCGGAACCACGTGGCTCTGGAAGTAGCGACGTGCGTGGTAGTCCTGCTGCGCATTGTAGGGTGGGATCGCGGACCAAAGCTTGGGCCTTGTGCGGTCATAAGCGTGGGCCACGCTGCTCACAGCCACCCCATCCAAGATAAAGCCCTTCTCCAGCCGCAGGGGACACTCGTACAAGCGGGACATCCCAACCACCACAGCTTCCCCAGGCCTTTCAAGCAGGGAATGAGAACGCTGGGTGGGAACTCCAGTAAGCATTGTTAGGTCAGGGGCACCTATGACACAAACACTATTGTCCCCACTCACCCTGGGTTACCAGCTAATTCCTTAGAGTCATGGGTGACATGCCATTGATTGGCCCTGAAGTGAGAGGTGACTAGGAGACCAAGCCAAGAAGACAGAGACAAGGCTAGTAAAGTCAGAACAGTGTGCATGCCTTCCTTACTTTTTTTTTTTTTTAATAATATGTCACATTGAGACAGGAAAACAGAACCCTCTCACCTGCTCTTTCAGTCCCCAAATGTCCAAAACAGCAGCCAGCTCCTTTTCTTTATTAAAGTTTTCTTTTTATCTGAAAGACAGGACAAGAAAGATCTTCCATGGGCATGTTCATTTTCCCCCTCCACCCCCTTTTTAAAAGACATTTTTATTGCAAAAGCAAATTATATTTACAGAGGAGAGACATTAAGATCTTCCACCTGCTGGTTAACTCAGATAACCACAACCACCAGAGCTGACCTATGCCCGGAGCTCCTGGGTCTCCTATGTGGGCGCAGGGTCTCAAGGCTTCAGGTCATCCTCTACTGCTTTCCCAGACCACAAGCAGGGAGCTGGATGGGAGGTGGAGCAGCTGGGACAGGAGCTGGTATCCACATGGAATGCTGGCACTTGCAGGGTGAGGAATTAAGCATCTAGCCATGGCTCTGGGTCTTTTTTTCCTCCTAAGGGCTGATTCATTTCCTAAATGCCTGTTACAGCCCTGGCTGGAGCACAGTGAAGCCAGGAGCCAACTCAATGAAGATCTGTCATAGTATTAGGTGTTAGAACTCTAGTGTTGGGGGCCCAGCAGCATGGCCTAACGGCTAAAGTCCTCACCTTGAACGCACCGGGATCCCATATGGGTGCCGGTTCTAATCCCAGTGGCCCCACTTCCCAGTTGAGGACGGCCCAAAGCTTTGGGAACCTGTACCCACGTGGGAGACCCAGAAGAGCTCCTGGCTCCTGGCTTTGGATTGGCTGCAGCCATTGTGGCCTCTTGGGGAATGAACTATCAGACAGAAGATCTTCCTCTCTGTCTCTCCTCCTCTCTGTATATCTGTCTTTCCAATAAAAATAAATAAAAAAGAGTAGAGACTCAGCTTGCCTGGACATACGGCAGGGGTGAGAAGCCAAGCTTCATTTCATTTGGGCAGCAAGCAGTCCCTCAAGTCCCATGATCCTGAGGTGAGTGGTATACACATAGAAGGACTCCTTGGTAAGATTTACAAGAGCAGCACTTTTTGCAGCAGTCAACCGTTCGCTTGCCTGGAGATTATGTATCTGTGCTTAGTTTCATTGGGGGTTTAAGCCTTAGTGACCTAAAAGGTAGATTCAAGTTCTTGAGCCATCACCTGCTGCTTCCTGGGCCTCCTGAGGTATGCATTTTAGCAGGCAACTGGAACTGGAAGCACACAAATAAGATGTAGGTATTCCAAATGGAGTCTTTTTGGTTGCTCAAGAGTTGGGGTGGTGATGGGCTGAGCTAGCTGTGACCATGGAACCTACCATCACTCATGGGTAAAGGGACCGACAACAGTCTGGGCTGGTCAAGGCAGCAGCACCTGAATGTGCATCCTAAATAGGGTGAGGGATGGGCCAGGCTGCAATGTTTACCAGCTCATACAAGGCCAAATGGAATGCTAGACTATGCTGGGCACTGGCCTAACACCCATTGGCATGTATGAGAACTGGATTTGGGAGTGGGTCAAGTGGGGGAACTTGGGAAACTCCCCTATTGGGTCATAGCTCCCGCTGGTGATCACCTGGTCCAGGCCTGGGGGTCGGACAAACTGGGCAAAGTAGCTCCAATGGCTAGCTAAAGTGTGGGTGGGTTATGGAAGGGGGCAGACCGGGCAGGGCTGAGCAAACCTTAGCTCACAAACACAAATAGAAATCAAGATGAAGCACAGGTCATGCCGAGCTTGGATCTTACACCAACTGGTCTGCGTGAGGCAGGGATGCCAGGCCACAGCATTGAAGGCAAAAGCAAAGACAGGTGAGGGGCTATGCCAAGCCGGGCATGCGCATGATCTATGGCTGGGAACAGGCCCAGTTGCGGACTAAGAGGACACCCTATCTGGGTTGGAGTTCCCACTGGTGAGGGTGGGGGCTGGAGTGGGGCTGCATTCTGGTCTGGATATGGCTGCAGTTTCCCTTGGCACAAGCGTGAACTGGGACTGGACAACCAGGCTGGGCTAGACTCCAACACCATTTGGTGCTCTGGAGGACCAGGGTAGATGTAGGATAGACTAGGCTAGGTCTCTGCCCCTTCTGAGCCATGTACAAGCTATGTCTGGGTATGGATGAACCTTGCCGGGGCTGAAACATCCAATAGTAAGAATCAGAATGCGTTGAAGCCCAGTTAGGAAAGGCCACTTTTTCTGCTAGGACAGGAGGTGGACTAAGTAGGGCTGGCTCATGGACTCACAGGCATGTGAGAGATCTGGCAATGGGAGAGGTTCTGATGGAGGAGCCTGGGCAACTCCTCTGGCAGGACAGTTCCTGCAGGTGAGTGCAAGAAACACGTTAAGGAGCAGCCTAGACCAGGCCAGGGAAAGGTACCCACCGGCATATATTTGGCACAGGTCAGGGGTGGGCCAGGCTGAACCAGTTCACATAAGCTGCTGGCAAATCTGAGCACCAGAACAATGAGGTCGGACCAGGTTTGGTCATAACAAATGCAAGTACACATTACAGCTAGATTGTGTGCATGCTGGGCTGGGCCAGACTGTAACCCCTCATCAGCTGAAACTGGGGGTGGTCTGGGCCAGGATATAGCACCCACTGGCAAATGCCAAAGTGAGGCAGGCCATGCCAGACTGGGCTTTAGTGTCCAGTCAACACACATAGGAACCAGGAGTGGGGGGTGGGGGGCAGGAATAAAGCTGGTAGGGGGGAATGTGGAGGGACCCCCTGCTGAACACCTTGCCCACTGGTGAGCATGAGCTGGGATGGGGACAGACCAGACCTGGTAGGGATACACCACCTGTGGGCCTCATGTGAACCAAATCAGGTAAGAGCCAGCCTTGCTTTGCCATGATCCCATATGGGTGTTTGTCCTGGAAAAGCTGTCAAGGATGGCCCAAAGCTTGGGACCTGATACCCACAGTAGGAGTTCAAGAGGAAGCTATTGGCTTTGGATAGGCTCAGCCCTGGCTCTTGTGGCCACTTGGGGAGTGAACCATAAATCTCTATTCCTCTCAGATATACAATCTGACTTCCCAATAAAAATAAAAATTTTAAGATTTTTATTGCAAAGTCAAATATACAGAGAGGAAGATCTTCTGCCTGATGATTCACTCCCCAAGTGAGCACAATGGCTGGAGCTGAGTCAATCCAAAGCCAGGATCCAGGAACCTCCTCCGGGTCTCCCACGTGGGTGCAGGGTCCTAAGGCTTTGGGCTGCCCTCAACTGCTTTCCCAGGCCACAACCAGAGAGCTGGATGGGAAGTGGAGCTGCTGGGATTAGAACCGGCGCCCACATGGGATCCCGGGCGTGCAAGGTGACAAAGATCTGTCTTTCCTTTTCTCTGTAAATCTGCTTTTCTAAAGTAAACAAATCTTTTTTTAAAAAAGATTTTATTTTTTTAAATTTTTATTATATTTTTATTGGAAAGGCGGATATACAGAGAGAAGAGACAGAGAGGAAGATCTTCCGTCCAATGATTCACTCCCCAAGTGAGCGCAATGGGCCGATACTATGCCAATCCGAAGCCAGGAGCCTCTTCCGGGTCTCCCACACAGGTGCAGGGTCCCAAAGCTTTGGGCCGTCCTCGACTGCTTTCCCGGGCCACAGGCAGGGAGCTGGAAGGGAAGAGGGGCTGCCGGGATTAGAACCGGCGCCCATATGGGATCCTGGGCGTGCAAGGCGAGGACTTAACCATTTGCGCCACCGCGCCGGGCCCCAAAGTAAACAAATCTTAAAACAAACACTGATCTGCCTTTCCAGAAAGCTTAGAAAGAAAAAAATATCCAAATGAATCATTGGTTAGGGTGTCAGGAACAGCATAAAGAAATAGCAATGCAAGCACTGGGCGCAAATAATTTTTAATTGGTTATCTTTTTTATACAAATACACTGAACAACTAGGCAATGCTGCCTGCGTTGGATGCAATCCTGGGCCACAAGTCTGCACACTCCTTTGCAACTGGTCCAGTGATGGCAGAACCTGCATGAAAAATAAAACAAAAACGTGAAGGGAGAGGTAAGAGAAGGCTTACCTCATTACAGCAGGTGTGTAATGAGACCCAGGAGGCCATCCTCAGAGCCCTCAGCAATGATGCAGCTCCCTCCTTACCTTTCATCTCGCCTTTATTGTTTACTATGACTCCTGCATTATCTTCAAAATAAAGAAACACACCATCTTTTCTTCTATATGACTTTCGTTGTCGAATTACCACTGCAGGATGCACTGAGGAGGGAAAAGGACGCCTGTCATTCACCCGCTTCAGAGCCCCCAGACAAGCTGCTCAACACCTCAAGGGAGGTGTACACACTTACTCACTCGCCAATAGCTGCTTACTGCTCTCATCATGACCACTTGCCACTTGAGACGTGAGCCCAGTGAGTGGAAGACCCTTCTCTGTCCCCAACTACCTTCTAGGTAAAGTAATTCAACATTGTTTCAATGTAAGGTAAACCTCCCCACCCAGCTGTGGGACTGAGATATATATGAAAGGCAGAGTTAACAGGGAGAAACCTTGCACCCACTGGTTTAGTCCTCAAATGCCAGAAACAGCCAGGGCTGGGCCATGTCTAAGCCAAAGGCCATGAGCTACATGTCTGTGCATGGAGCGAACCCAAGTATCTGGACAGTACATACCAGAAAAAGCTCCTCCCAACAATGTCCACTTGAGGCCAATCTTAATATTCCACTCATCACATAACCCCCTTTCCTAAATCATATAGTGCAAAGGATCAGACATATTTAGGGTACCAAGTTTTACATGCATTGATTCATTTATTTGCAACTGACCCAATGAAAACCTTCAACTACTAGTGTACTCGAGCTATGCTAAAGAATGCAAGAAAGAGGAAATGAGAAGAAATTGTGACTGAAGTGGCTGAGCCTGAAGACCAGGCCACTCTAGCCTCCTGTGGATGCCTCTGGGACAGCAGCAGGTGTGGGCCCTGGGACTTGTATCCCTGCCACCCCAACAGGAGCACAGGACTCTTGAATGTCAGCCTGGGGCAGCCCGGTCCTCCCACTAGATACACATCCTCATTCAAGACTACAAACACTGGAAAAGTAAATCGGGAAAGGGTATGTACAGTTCTTTGGGCCAAGTGTCAGAACCATCTAGGCAAGCTGAGTTGGGACACATCCTGAGGCAGCTATTTTTACTTTACTGAGTTGTCCCTGCTCTGAAGTTTGCCACTTGAAAACCACGAATGCTAACACATGGATTAGACAAAGCCATACAGTAAGACTCTGAGAGCTCCAGCCCTGCTGCCCCCACCCCATTTTTCTATGCTTTCATGCAGAAACCTAAATCCTAGGTGGGATCTGCTGATCAGCTGCTAGAAGGACTAAGACAGTAAAAGGACTGCAAATTCCCAAATGGAATTAAAAACAGGTTAACATTGGAGTCTGTCCCATCACCTCTTCAGACCAACAGGACGTCCTGTGGTCATCGCACCCACCGAGCAATGGCTGTTGGCTCTCCTCTTCCCTGACAGCTCCCTAGGTCACATGCAGACCTAGGCAGTGTTCTGACAAGAGGGAAAAGCTCTTGCATCCTCTCATCTAGGCTAATCAACAGTCACGTTCAGTGAGTGAAAAGGGCCAAGATTTACCTCCTAGAAGACCAAGACCCCACTGGGAAGTGGGCAAGTAAGGCAAGTAAAAGGAGTGGCTGGAAGACACAGCTGTGACCTGTCATATCACATCTACACTGCCAAAGGGCAACAGCTGATGGCAAGGACAAGCTCCAGCGTCCTGTGAGCTTCCAGGGCAGCCAGAATCAAGCAACAAGCAACGAGCAGCTCCTGGTTTTAGTCTCATGGATTACAGCCAATGAAGACCAACTTCCAACAAGCACAACGTTGCCTTCAACAAGCCACAATAGGTGGCTGCCTCACTTAGGACCTACCACATAGGACAGACTCCAAGCCTCCACCAAGTGCTAGCTAACAAGCTGGACACTCCGACTTGGTTTGTTACAGTTCTGGACAAAATCCCACTACCCGATTCCCTTTCAAACCATTGACTCTCGAACGGGCAACCAGGCTGTGTGGCCTCCCCTGTCCTGGCGGTACCACATAGTTCACCTGGGGCCAGGCTATCAGCAAAGAACAGCCTGAATGTCATGAAAACTGTCTCCACTTTGAGCATCTGCAGGAGCACACGGGACAGAGCTTGCCGTCTAGGAAGGAGCCCCAGTGGGTATGGAGAGGTATGCGCTGGGTTCCCAGGGGACAGGACTCCTGCTGAACTGAGCCGGGGCAGTGGCAGGCATCAGCAGACCGGCGTTGCGCTTCCGGCCTCGGAGGCCTCCCTGGACATCAGCCGCCCACCCGGCGGAGACACTCACCCTTCTTCCGCAGCTCTGGCTTGCCCTTCTTGACTGTGGCCATCACCATGTCCCCGACGCCGGCGGCAGGGAGCCTGTTCAGTCGTCCCTTGATCCCCTTCACGGAGATGATGTAGAGGTTTTTGGCTCCTGTGGGAACGGACAATCATCCTTTGGACCAGGCCGGGCGGCTCCCGCGCCGTTTGTCACACCACCGATTGAAGCCGGACGGCACAGCACGCCGCCGCTTCACCCAAGAGCGGTGTCGCTTGCTCTGCCCCTTCCGGACGGCTCGCTGGGTCACCGGCAGCAGGCCCAGCGAGTGCTTTGAAAGGGGTGGACGGAACCCGGGGCGGGGGAAGGAGCCAGGGCCTCACCTGTGTTGTCCGCACAGTTGATGACGGCACCCACGGGGAGACCCAGGGAAATGCGGAATTTGGCGCCGGAGGACCCGCCACGTCCTGCGGGCGAGGAGGGAGAGCGGGTCAGTGGGCACGGTCTGGCCGCGGCGCCCGAGCTGCACCTACGAACCCCACTGGACCTGCCACACTCTCTCTAGCAAAGCGCCTTCCCGCGCGCCGCCCTGTCCTGCCACCAGCCGTTCCTCATTACCATCCTTAGGTCGAGGTTGGGGAGCTCCATGCTCGCTCCACACTTGTTCCTACAAGGCCAGACGGCACAGGTCGTCCACACCGAGGCCAGAGCCTTTGCAGCTTCACCCTCGCTGCTGCCAAGAGCTCACCCCGTCCACTCGAAAGCCAAGCTGGGATCCCGCCGGCGCCACCTCCCCCGCCACCCAGCGCCTGCTTCCAGGGCGCTCGCCGCCAGCCCGAGGGAGCCTAACGGTGCTAGCTGCCTAAAGCCGCCGCTCCCGGCCAGGCCGGGACTCCCTGCGCCGCAGATGGCGGACGATGCTCTCCAGAGCCGAACGCTCACCTCGCTTCGACATCTTGGATGCCGGAAAGAGACGGAAAGGGAAACGGCGCAAAGGACGCTGGGATTTGAACTTTGATGCCCCGCCCACTTCCGTTACGTGACAGAGCGTGTCTCCCAGCCTCTGCCCTGATTGAGGGCGCTGACGTTCTACGTCATAAGTCCGGGACTTGGATTTGGGCTGCAAGGAAGGTTGGACGGAGTCTGTTTTGGAAAGCTGGTGAAACCCGGACCCTCCACGCTGCGAATCAAAAGTAGTTGGGGACATGCAAATACTGATTTGTTTTCTCATCCAGCAGTCTTTTTAAAAAAGGTTTATTTTATTTTTATTAGAAAGACAGAGTTAGAGGAGGAGACTCAGAGAATCTGCTAGTCTGCTACCCAATAGCAGATCTTTCCTATCCCATCGCCTTCCCAACATCCTGTGTACCTTCCACAGTCTGTTCTCAGCATCTTAGACAGTAATCTCTGAGATAGCATCGTCCACCTTGCATATCAGGCAAATGCCACAGTCCAGAATGACTCCAGGGTCTGGGTTCCATGACTTTTCTTATTATTATTTTAAGACTTACTTATTTTTATTGGAAAAACTGATATACAGAGAAAAAGATAGAGAAGATCTTCTGTCCTATGATTCACTCCCCAAGTGACCACAACGGCCGGAGCTGAGCCAAGCCAAGCCAGGAACCTCCTCCGGGTCTCCCATGTGGGTGCAGGGTCCCAAGGCTTTGGGCCACCCTCCACTGCTTTCCCAGGCCACAAGCAGGGAGCTGGATGGGAAGTGGGGCCGCTGGGATTAGAACTGGTGCCCATATGGGATCCTGGTGCCTAGCAAGGCGAGGACTTTAGCTGCTAGGCTACGGTGCCTGGCCTTCCCTCTGCTCTCCTAACTCTGCCTTTCACATTAAAATTTTGTTTTTGCATAAAGTAGGCACTCAGTGTTTAAATATCGATGAAAGAAAAAAAGAGAATAAAGCAATATATGTAAAACACAGAAATAATGATCTGTTTTGTTGCAATACCACTTCACAGTTGTATCACATTCTAAGGGAACTGTTTGGAACTCATTCAGGCCATGTTCCTTAGGGAGCCCTACGCAGCACAATCCATTTTAAAATTATGTCTGGAGCCCGGTGTGTTAGCCTAGCTGTTAAAGTCCTCGCCTTAAACCCACCAGAATCCCATATGGGTGCTGGTTCTAATCCCGGCAGCATTGCTTCCCATCCAACATCCTGCTTGTGGCTTTGGAAAGCAGTTGAGGATGGCCCAAAGTCTTGGGACTTTGCACCCATGTGGGAGAACTAGAAGAAGTTCCTGGATCCTGTCTTTGGATCAGCGTAGCACCGGCGGTTGTTGTCACTTGGGGAGTGAATCATCAGACAGAAGATCTTCCTCTCTGACTCTCCTCCTCTCTGTATATCTGCCTTTCCAATAAAAATAAATAAATCTTAAAATAAATCCTTAGAAAAGTATGTCTGAATTCCTGGGTGTCCAGAAATGCCTGGCATATACTAGGTGCTCCTCAGAGGTTGCTGGGCACTGGTATCCCATATGTCTTTATGTTGCTGAGAGCAGATTGGGGAGGGTACACAGGATGCTGGGAAGGAGATCCAACAGGAAGCTATTGCTGCAATCCAGGTTGTGTTAAAATTGTAACAGCAGAGGCATTGAGGTAAGTCGGGTGCTGCGTATGATTTGAAGGTTGAGCCAACAGAATCTGCCGTGTGAAACAAAGAGGAAAGCAACAGCGTCCTCATGGTGCCAGCATCATGCTGTGGCAGGTTAAGGTACTACCTGAGATGCTGGCATCCCATATTGGTGCCAGTGCAAGTCCTGGCTGCTTTGCTTGCTGCTAATGTGCTTGGGAAAGTTGTGGAAGGCAATCCAGCACTTGGGCCCCTGCAGCTGCTTGGGGGATGTGGATGAAGCCGTTGCCACCGTTGGGAGTAAACCAGCAGATGGGAAACGTGCCTCCTTCTCTGTCACTCTGCCTTATCAAATCAACAAAGGTGTTTAAGGGGAGGGCTGGAGGAGGGCTATGAGAGAAGCAGTTTTCTTAGTTGGGTCTTCTGCCAATGTCTGCAGAGGAAAAGGTTGATTCTCTTCTCCCAGGCTCCTGGATCCAGTCTCCAGGTCTGTAGACTTGATTTAGTTCCTTCTCCATGCTGCCAAGGTTTGCACTTACTCAAAAGCTATTGCAACAGCTTGTAAATGGTTTGACCACAACCTCCCATTGCTTAAGCCCCCTTGTGTGACTCCTCTGGTGCGTATCAAATGAAGCCCCAGATGCTTAACAGGGTGATGCTGATGCTTCTCCAAATGGCCATTCCCTTCCTGGCCTCCTTCCCCGCCACCTTGTCTTTACTGAGATTGCTGGGCACGCCCTCCAGTGGCATACCTCCTGGTAAGCAGCACCACCATCTCCTGATGTCTCTTTAGCTGCAACAATGGTTCTCATAGATTTTCATCTTACATCTCTTTACTGAATTATTCAACATCTCAATATACAGGCTATGTCCATTGACATTTCCAGAATCAAAAGAGAAATATTTATTTATTTATTTATATTGGAAAGGCAGATATACGGAGAAGAGGAGAGATAGAGAGGAAGATCTTGCATCCGATGATCACCCCAAGTGACCACAATGGCCACAGGCAGAGAGCTGAATGGGTCGCTGGACCACCAGGATTAGAACCAGTGTCCATATGGGATCCTGGTGCGTTCAAAGTGTAGTTGTGTTGTCTAGTTGTATAGTTGTATTGTGTAGTTGTGTTGTTGTATAGTTGTGTACTTTCATTGTGTAGTTGTGTACTTTTGTTGTATAGTTGTGTGCTTTTGTTGTGTTGTATAGTTGTGTAGTTGTGTACTTTTGTCGTGTGGTGTACTTTTGTTGTGTAGTTGTATAGTCTGGAGAAGGCGTCAGTAGATGGAAGCTCTGTCTCTGCCTTTCAAATAAAATGGAAAACAAAACAAACAAAAATGCTAAATGTTATGGGGTGCAGTTAGTGATAGCCAGCATCCACTGACATTGGGCAAACAGAATGTGGTGCTGTCCCCTACCCTCTGTCCTGAGGTGGGGCCTAACAGCAATGGAATGTTAATTCCATCCTCAGCCACTCCCCACCACCACCTAGGTATTCCCTCTTGCCCACCTGTGACTCACCTATCAACTGAGAGGGGACAGTATTGCATTGTCGTGTAACCACTCCCCTCATAAGCCCCTTTAAAAGGCCTGTGAAGGTCCTGTGCTTGCTAGGACACACAAGAATCTGGTCTGGGAATACCTCAGAGTTTCTTTAGGGATCTCCCCAATCAAACTGCCGGATGCAGAACCCTAACCAAGAAAAGACAGAAGACACAGAACAAGTCAATCAGCTATTTGTCAATCAAACAGCTATTTCGCTGTTGGCAGCGAAATACTGGGCAAATGGAGACTCTATGATGGACTATGTCAATCAGTGGATTCTTCAGTGACCTCATCATGCTCGGAGTGGCGAGACTGGCAGCAAACATAACTGGTGAACTATCAAAACCACTTGAGCAAGGATCTCAGAGCATTCCCCATATCCGGAACTTGGGGTGGGTGGGAAACTGGGTGGGGCTTTTCCCTCAATATCCCCCTTTACCTCAGATACATGAAGGAAACAATATGGAAATAATAGTCTTACCCACTTCCCTATAGCCCTTGAACCTTTTTACCCTAATTAACTGTGTAAAGATTGTAAAAAAAAAAAAAAAAAAAAAAAAGTAAAGAAAAAAAAGGCCCGAGAAGCAGGGGCTCGCTCTGTTTCTGGTCAGTTGCTTCCATTGCTCTGGCACCTCAGCTCCTGGCTGACCCAGGGCAGGTAATCCCCTGAGCATGGTCCCTGTGTTCTGCTTAGTTGGTAAAATGGATATAGCAATCAGTTTTGATGTTTGTGTTTGCATGCTATCACGAGTTCCAGGAGAGGTGAGGCCTGGCAGTAGTGGGATGTGGGCAGAGAAGCCAGGGAAAGGTGAATGTCTGCAGCTTTGTAAGCGTGTCCAGGTTATTCATTGCATGTCTCTTGGGGTAACTTATATTGTTGGGGAAGTTGGGACATAGGTCTTCAGCTTAACAGATGGGCTTGAGGAAAATGACCATTTATTACTCTTGGGGTTATGTTTGGTTGCATTATGACTGGTTGGATTGCCATATGGACTTGTGATTTGCTATTTGTAGTGAACTCTGTTATCATCAAGCTTGGTTAATAAAGACTCCTTAATAAACCTTAGACATGTGTGGTGTGATCTTGCTCGCACCACGTAACACTAAACCTGGGCAGACTGGTGGAGGAAGGCAGCGTACAGCACTGCAGGTTAAGCCGTTGCTTGCGATGGTGGCATTCTATATTGGAGTGGCACTTTGAAATGTAGCTGTTTTGCTTCTGATTCAACTAAAACAATTAAAGTAAATATATATTTAAAACATTTTAAAAATTTTTATATCATTTTATGACATAGTTTCATAGGCTCTGGGATTCCCCGAACCCCACTCTAAGCCCTCCCCCCATATTACTCTATTTCACTTCCTTTTGGACATCCATTTCCTGGCATACCTGTTTGCTTAACCTGTTGTGATTAGATAACACACAATCCCTGGAAAGCCCATGCCTGTGTTTGCCCATGAAAGGCAGAATGAAACGGAATCTTCATCAGAAAGGCTTTCTATTTTGTTTCAAGTACTGTAAGTATTGCATTGTAACTGTTTTTGGGGGTCCTGCTTTGCCCTTTTATTATTTTTTAAAGATTTATTTATCTTTATTGCAAAGTCAGATATACAGAGAGGAAGATCACTCCCCAAGTGGCTGTGCTCTGCCAATCTGCAGCCTTCTTTCCGGAAAGGACTTTAGCTCGTAGGCCACGGCAGTGAGTCCCGTGTTTTGTGGTTTTAAAAGGGGGGACCCTCTTGATCTGCAGTCAAATGCTCTACCCCTAAGCTATATCCCCCTGCTGGAAGAAAAAGAGATTGCAGCTTAAATGTAGCATTCCTCTGTCTCTTCTGTATATCTAACTTTTCAATAAAAATAAATACATCTTTTAAAAAAAATGGTAGGATTCCTCACCAGCTGCTATACCCAGTGATTGAGGCTAGTCTGACAACTACACTAAGTGACTTCAAATTGTCTGCAATCATACCGATAAATCAAGAGAAGATTACAGAATTAATCCAGACATAGACATTGAGAGAGAAGGGAAACGCCCACTCTGACTGAGGCTGAACGGTCCAATGCTCCCACCTCTGTAACCCTCTACCTCCAGCCTCCGAGGAGTCTTCTAGGCCCCTTCCCACAGTACCTGCCTGCAACTTGAACTGCGAGAAACCCGCAGCCTGCTGCTTTGGACACATCTCAGAAGCTCTCCTGCTCTGCATGTTCCTCCACTGTTGGCCCTAGGATCTCTATTTCTCCAGCCCAGCTGTAAGACCCTCAGGGCAGGGATCATGTCACATTATTTTTTCTATTCCCTGAAGTGCTCTGTGCAGTGCTCGATCCATCGTTAAGTCCTTGCTCGCCAAACTGCAGCCTAACTTCAGCTCAACTGTGCGGTCCCTCCTAGCCTGCTCCCAGGAGCTGAATGATGTTAAAGAAAAATGCACATGCGTGTGTCACTCCACCAAACTCAGATGGATTTCTGCCTTGCATTCCTGCATCCCTGCCCATATACCATCACTTTCCCACGCTCCATAATAATGATCACACACTTTTCTCCTGTCTCACTTCCTCCTTATTTGTTCTCATCTCTTCACTCCCCCAACTCAGAAACTTGCTTCCTCTGTTTTGGGGGAAATAGAATCACCCAATTAGACTGTAGTGTTCATAAATGGTTAACAAGTCACTGGGGGAGGGGGAGGATTTTTTTTTTTTTTTTTTTTAGCATTTGCCAATTTCAGTGTGCGAATACACCCACCTGCTGATTGCGAGATATCAAAGGGAAGTCAACTGGTTTAAAAATATCCCTAAAATGTAGTTATAAGTTCTTGCAAGCCAGTTTGAACCAAATCCAGCATGCTTTGGAGATCAAATACCTCTTCATCATCAACTGTTCCCCTACATCGGTGATTTCCCAAAATACATGTCACTGGCTTAAACCCAGAGCTCCCGAATTAGCTGGATCTTTCCGGTTTTGGATCTGCTCAGTTGTGCTCATTGTGGCCATTTGGGGAGTGAGCCAGCAAATGGAAGATCATCCCTCTGTCTCTCCTTTTTCTTCTTCTTCTTTTTTTAAGATTTATTTATTTTTTTATTGGAAACTCAGATATACAGAGAGGAGGAGAGACAAAGAGGAAGATCTTCTGTCTGATGATTCACTCCCCAAGCAGTTGCAACAGCCAAAGCTGAGCCGATCCAAAGCCAGGAGCTTCTTTCAGGTCTCCCACACAGGTGCAAGGTCCCAACACTTTGGTCCGTTCCTCAACTGCTTTCCCAGGACCACAAACAGGACTGGATGAGAAGCAGAGCAGCCAGGATATGAACCAGTGTTCATATGGGATCCTGGTGCTTAGCAAGGTAAGGATTTAGCTACTGAGCTGTCGCATGGATCCTGAATCAGGATTTAAATTTTTTTAGATTTATTTAATTATTATTTGAAAGGCAGAATTTACAAAGAAAGAGAGACAGGGGCCCAGAGCGGTGGCCTAGCAGCTAAAGTCCTTGCACAGCACCGGTCGTTGTGCTCACTTGGGGAGTGAATCATCGGACGGAAGATCTTCCTCTCTATCTCTCTTCCTCTCTACACATCTGACTTTGTAATAAAAATAAATAATTAAAAAATAAGAAGAAGAGAAGGGGGCTGTGGGGGTAGTGGTCCAGGCAGGGTTTGCCTGGCTTGGGTCCTTAGGCCTGCTGGTGTGGTGCCTGCTGGGTCTGTGAGCCCTGGGTGCGGGGACCAGCGTGGCTTGGGTCAGGTGGCTTGGGACACCAATGGTGCTTGGGGAAAGCTCCCTGGCCACCTGGGGGCGCACATGCAGAGACTTGGTGTGTGAGCTTGCAGGGATCTGGGGACGGCACAGGTTGGGAGTGTGAGGATCTGAGATTTCAGATTCAGAATTGGTGGTCTGATCTGGAGTGCATATATCAAAACTGGCCTCCTCTGTGGAAAAGACGAAGCAATGGACGGCTGGCCCAGATGCACATGGAGGATGCGGCCACACATTGGGGCCTGCAGAGGACATTTGGTATCACAGCAGAGGAAAGAGGACAGAACAAATTGGACAACTATCCCAGCTAAAGGATGACAGCAAATATCTGGATGAATGGAGATTCGAAGTTCGACTATGTCAGCCAATGAACATTGGAAGGAGTTCCTTACTCTTGGATCAGCAAGACCAATAGCATTGCAGAACTATTGAAATCACTTGGGCAGAACTCTGGGCGTATGCACCACATCTGGGACCCTGGGTTGATATTGGGTGGTCGTTCTCCAACCGTGCGTTTGGGAGGCTGGGTATGGCTTCTCCCCTTGTCTCCTTCCTTCCCCCTGATACAGAAAGAGGAAATAGAAATTTGGAAAGAAACAAAGATTAATTAATTATTAATTAATTAATTAATTAATAAGAAAGAAGAGAAGGGGGCCACTGCATTGCTAGCCAGGAAGGTGTCTTTTTAGCTCTTGCATTCTTCTTGGAAATTCCCTGGAGAATGATTATCCAGGTTTTCAACAGGTTATTTTCTGATAGGGAAGAGAGGAATACCTATATTCATGTGTTTTAAGATCGTTGCTATTTTTTTAGTTGATTTTTGTGGTTCATGCCTCCCTAGTGGTAAAATCAAGCATTATCTAACAAAGATACTGATCTTGAAAAATTAGACATATTTTTAGTGGGAAAACTTTGTTGTCATTCGTGAAAGTATTTACCTTCCTCCCGCCAGCAGAGGGGGTATAGCTCAGTGGTAGAGCATTTGACTGCAGATCAAGAGGTCCCCGGTTCAAATCCGGGTGCCCCCTTCGTTGAGGTCTTCGTTTTTCAGTAAATATTTGTGCAGTCATAATAATCCAGAATCATTTGAAGGTACAATAGGACCCTTCTCTAGATCAGGCCATGCATTCCTCTCTACCTCTACAGCCAACCGCACAGAAACTAGGGGATGCATTGGTTAAGTGTTAGTTGGTTTGGGGTTTAAAAAAAAAAGGAATAAGGTTATAAGTTTTCAGATACTATTTTCCTAGTTCCTAACTTAACTCAGAAGCCTAGGAGAATGAGTGAATCCAAATCTGAGGCTTACACCCCAGAAGTTCAACAGGGAAGGCACAGATAGAAGATAAAGGCTTAAAGACTGTGAGTCTCCTTTAAGCTCAAGGGCAGGGCTTTGGCCTTAGGACCCCAGGTGGCAAGCTCCAGGTCCTGTGTCCAGGACAGAGAGAAAAGTTGGTTACTTGCCGAGGCTGGCCTCTGTAGCAGCAGTGCCATCTCTGTGTCCAGTCCCCAACTGGGGAAAAAATGAGCTAGACTATTACTCCCAGGGGGAAATGACACAATCAGATTCCGGGTCTAAAATACCGCAACTGCCCCCTGACCCAAGCTGAATGCCTCTCCCTTTCGCTTTTATTTTTCCTTTTTTTGGGCAAAACCTAGCGGAGAGGGGCCGCCTTTCACTTCTCTCCCTTTCACAGTGATTTCCTCCAGCCCAGAAACCATCACCCCCAGTGACGCAGCAAGAGGCTCTTTGTCCCCTTTAAGTTATAAAACTAGCTGTCCTTTTAGTGTTGGTCTAGTGATTCCCAAAGTGTGGTCTCCCCTCCCCTCTGCCCCAGCCCGCGGTGCAGTTCCCAGGGCCGGAAACCGGGGTTTTGGTTATATAAACCCTCGGGTCATTTGGACGCACCCCGAAGTGTGAAAACCCCTGCGTTCCTTCTTGGCAGGACACTGAATGAGCGCACCGGTGTGTGCCAGGACTGTCACTCCATCTACCACTCCACGCGCCTCAGAAGCAACAGAAAAGCACATCCGCAGCCTCCGTAATAAAGTTTAAGTTGGAACTGTGTGTTTGCGGTTTGCTTCTTCGTACTCCTTCCCGCCCCAGCTCCCCCATGCTTCCACGGAGGCAGAACGCTTGAGGCAGTCACCCTGTCCCCAAATCTGTCACCTCGAGGTGCCTGGCATGCCTGAGCCCGGCCGCCGCACAACTCTGGCGCTACAAGGGCAGCGCGCCTAGCCACTCTTTCTCCTCCCTTTGAGCACAAAGTGAAACGGAGAGCTCTTGGCTAAGGTAAGAAAACGAAAAAGGGATTGCTTTTTAGGTTTTGTCCGCTCCTAAGTCAGGACCCCACATTGCAGTCAAGAACGGAAATTGGACCACAGGCAATAACTGGGGAGGAAAAAAAAAAAAACAAACTAGCAAGAGTTAACCAGGGGGCACCCGGATTTGAACCGGGGACCTCTTGATCTGCAGTCAAATGCTCTACCACTGAGCTATACCCCCACGCCGCAACCGGCGCTAGAGGCGGCTCTTTTGAGTTTTCGAGGTGGTCACCGTTACACTTGGTGAGAAGGAAAGACTTGCAGGAGCAAAGGGGGCCGCGCTGAAGGTCGAGGGTGCCCTGCTCCTCGGATTCCGGGGTTGGGCCGGGACCAGGGCTCCGAGGCGCCCAGTCCGGGAGGAAACGATGGGTCCGCCCTGCAAACGTGGGCCAGGGCGTGGGTGAGACGAGCGCTCGTGGGCGGGCCGGGGGGCTCCCGTCCTGCCCCAGCTGCACGCCTGGTCCCAACCCCTGGAAGGTGCTCGAAGCAGGCGCATCTGCTCGGGCGTTCCGGGAAGGGCTCCAACCCCATCCTGGACGGTGCTCCCAGCACCAGGTCCATCCAGCGTGGACAGGGCGGGCCGCCTGCCCGGAGCCGCCCCCGCGCAGCCCCGCGCCGCCCGTGGAGCGCGCCCGGCCGCGCGCGCCCCTGCCCGCGCCCGCCGCGCGTCCCCGCGCCGGCCCCTCCTCCCCGCAGTGTTTATTAGGGGAAGGAGGGCGGAGGCGGAGGCCAGTTCCTCAGCTCCCGCCGCCAGCGCCGCCGCCGCCCGTGCAGTGGCAGCCGCGGCCGCCTCCTGTCTCCTCGCCGCGGGGGAAAAGAGGACGCGCGCGAGCCAGCTCGGGCGTCCCCGCCCAGCCTAACCCCGCAGCCATGAACCCCAACTGCGCCCGGTGCGGCAAGATCGTGTACCCCACGGAGAAGGTGAACTGTCTGGATAAGGTAAGCCCGGGACGGCCAGCCCTGTCTGCGCCCGGCTGCGAAATGGGGGGTGTCGGGGGAGAGCAGGGAAGGGGCCGGGTCTGGGGCGCCTCATCCCCGCCGCGATCTCGGGGCAAGGGAGGGCGGGCAGTGTCCTCAGGGGCGTGGGGCAGACCCCTCTCCCCAACCCCCCAGTCTGGAGATCGGGGGGTCCAGGGCGAGGCGAGAGATCCACGCGTGGCGGATCCCCGGGAAAGCGTGGGCTGTGCACGCCGGGCTTGGGCGGGCGCGGGAGGAGCGGGGACCCCGGGCTTTCCGGGGGGCGCGCGTTGGGGGTTCGAGGAGGGGTGCAGTCCCGCCCCCTAGGAGACGGCCGCTCCCTCTCCCCGCCGCGCCGAGCGCCAAGTAGGCGGAAGCGCGGGGGAGGGGGCGGGGCAGCGCCCGGGGGCCCGGCGGAGCTGGCCGGGGCCGCCGGCCTTCCTGCCCCGGAGCCTTCGGGGGGCTGCTGGAGAGGCGGGGGTCGGCGGCTGCCACGTCTGGTGGCGGGGCTTCCGCGGCAGGACGGACCCCCCCCATTGCAACCTTCCCCCGTTTTTCAAACGCCCTGCACCCCCTTAGTGGTTCGGTAGTTTGGAGGTGGGGTCCGCGCAGACCTCCTCTCCAGGTTCCCCACCCCCCACCTCAGATTCCAAGTCCGCTCTCGCTGCTGGGTGGCCCAGCCGCTGTCGGCCGTCCTCGTCGGGGGGACCGGGACGGGGTGGGGGGGTGCCTCGCAGAGAGCTGAAATTGTGCTGGGCCTAGAGACCGGCTTGCAGAACAAAGAGCCGAACTTTTCAAAGCCGGTTTCTCCATCGGAGGGTGGGGTTGGCTGAGTTCGGGAGGAAGCCCCGCCGAGGGAGAGGTGTTTGGGGGGGAGGGGAGGGTGGCCTTTTTAGAATTCACTGTCCCCTAGAGACCCGTACACGCCCACCCGCCCGTGCTGGACTAGTTCATCTGCTTGCCATTCTTCTTGGAGGTGGGGGTGGGAGGCACCGAATAGAATTGGGTATTTCCAGCACACTTTGGGGTATCCGCCTGTGTTGTAAGACCAAGGCCAGTGACCACTGGGTACCCTCCTCAGTTTGGAGGGGAGGCCTCTGTTTCTTCCTCTTCCTCCTCTTGCCTGCCATCCACCACCCAGAGCTGGCTTCAGGTGGGAACATTTCCTCTAACTGGCGACAGTACAGAGGCCCTGAGTCAGGGTCATGGCTCACCCCCGCCAGGTTTTAAGTGGGAAAGGGTAGTTCCTGGGATACTTTGTTTCCAATCTCCTCCTCCCCCCCTTGGGGTTGATACTTTCTCAGCGACTTTCGGCCTCTGACTCAGGGTGAGGCCGCAGGTGGAGGTGGAGCTTCTGAACCATACTTGAGCTTGCGCTCCCCGGAAGGGGACAGTTGTGTCCTGCAGGGAGGAGGGATCTGTTGGGGGCACAGGGAAGGTGCTAGCTTCTGGAAGGCAAGACTTGATCTTGGAGCTCCGGAGGCAGGAGGAGCAGTCTCCCTTTGAGAAGGGATCTGCGGGGGGCGGTCTGGGTTCTTGCCTTTTCCTCGGGAGTTTGGTCTCTCCAGCCTGAGTTTCCTGGTGCTGTTCTTACTTAGGACTTTGGCCGGTGCAAGGCTGACACTAGAGCTTACCAAAGGATTGCTTGACTCTGGCATTGGGAGGCTTGGTCCGCCCAGTTCCGGGTCTGCTCCCATCAGTTTTATGAATGGCTTTTGGGCCTCAGTATTCACTATCTGTCAGATGGGCGTGGTGATGTCATTTCCTTGCGTAGGGGAGCAGTGCACTAAAGTGCCTGCCAGAGTGCCTGGAAGGGGAGTGTCTAGGCCGTGGGCTGGCCTTCTGTGATGCTATTTCCAGCCCACAGCACTTCCCTTAGACTAGGAAGAGCTTGGGTGTTGGGTGTCCTAAGGGAGAGGGGATCCTGTACCTACCCTCCAGGTGTCCTCCCCAGTCAGTCTCTTGTGCTATCTGGAAGAGAAGTATGCCTTTCTGTGTGTGCTGCCCTGGAAAGTGGGAGTTGGTGAATCTTCCTTGCTTTTACAGCAGGAAGTGGACCAGAGAGAGAGAGGTCCCGCCTCCCCGCACTGTGCAACTGATCTGGATTATCCAGGTATCCCGCCTCTTCCTCCCCGATGTTTCCAGCAGGAAGGATAGCCACCTGGACAAGGGACCCGGTGCCCGGAGGATGCCGGGCTGGCACCTGGGACAGGGAAACCCTGTCGCAAAGGCAGGGCTGTTGACTAGCTTCCCAAACAAAGCGAAAGCCAGATCTGACTCACCTGTCATTCAGCCAGTGGCCAGGGCACAGGCTGTGCATCCTTGTCTCGAGTCTGATCTCCCTAAATAAAGCGTAGGTGGGTGAGTGCCCTGCCATTTCTGTGAGCAGCCTGCCCCCAGCCTCCAGTGTACAGTGTGCTGTGCTCTGCGCGTGTTGCTGTGGAGGGCATTTGAGGAAGGAGGTCGAGGTTTGCCTTTCCAGAGGACTTCTGGGATTATAGGGGGAGGGGGGAATCGGGGTGACCTCATTCGCTTATTCATTCAACAAATATTTGTTCAACACCTTCTTTGTATCTGGAGACCAGCCGCGTCAAGATTGGCCACATGGTCCCCTCTGGCTTGCTTCCTGGCCTTCAGCAAGCAGGCAAAGACGTTGAGGAAGAGCGGAGGATTGGTCTGCTACCTAGAATCCCCCATTACCATTACGAGGGCCTCTATGCTGCTGCTCCTTGGCCCAGCATCCTTCTCCCTTCCCAGGGACAAAATCCTTGCCATGTAGGTGCCCATTTCTGAGCTGAAGGACCGCATGGTCAGCTTGTGCCATCCCTGCACTGTGGCCAACGCTCAGGGCGGAGTGCCCGGCGTAGGCTTCCCGGCAGCCTCCTGAGGCAGGGGTGGCTGCACGTGTCCATGATCAGCCCTGCACACAGAGACATGGTGAGGGTTCACCCGGAGCCAGAACTGGAATTCACATTCACAGGCCTTCCTGCTATCTGGAGGAAAGCCCAGATATTTGGAGGGTACTGGGGAAGTGGAATTGCGGTAAAACCCCTGTCTTGAAGCCAGTGACCCAGGTGGCCAACAGAGCCTGGCTGGTGACCTGGCTGGGGCTGGGTGGGGCCTGGAGGGGCGCGTGCAAGGGAAGCTGTAACCTTGGGCAACAGAAAGGGAAGGTCTCATACTCTAAGTCTGAGTCACTGCCACCCCTGGTAGCCTGGGTGCATAGGACAAGGTACCAGCCTGTTGGGGCACAGTGACCTGAAGCATAACACTGTTCCTTCCTTTCCCCAACACCCGCCTCCACCCCAGAACGCTGGAGGAACAGGGGCTGGCCCAGGCCTCACCCAGCAGAGGGGCTCCCCTGCAGGGCTTTCTGTCTGGCTGAATGGGTAAGGGAAAGTCCTGGAGCCTGCAGGTGCTCTGGCTGCACTGGGATCTTCCCTGCCTGGGGCAGAGAACATGAAGTGGCTGAGGGTCCTGGGAGGGGGATGAGGGAGGACAGGCTTGTTCTGTCTACCTCTTTCTGGACTAACTGGGACTGGGCAGGTTCTCTCTTCTTGGGGTTCTGGTGGCCTGTCCAGCCCTGGCTCCCAGGATGTGTTGAGTGGTTATTTTCTTGCTTCCCCAAAGAGGCAGTAGCTGCTGCGATGTTCTTGACCCTGTTCTTCAGAGAGGAGAGGAGAGGGACCTTCTGCCAGCTGTTATTCTGGGTGCCCACCATCCCCCCAGCACTCCTCCCTGAGACAGTGCTGCTGGTCCCACTCTGCAGAAGTGGAGACTGTCATTGGTTACCCCTTGTTTCCATCTCCTGCCCCCTGAGTGGGAAGAGGTGGCTGTGCTTCCTAACCTGGCCTCTGATGTTTCCGGCTGAGTGCAGGGCGGGAGTGCAGGGAGTGAGGAGCGTCCTGGGGTGGGCTGGAAAGGGCTCCTGACAAAAGTGGACACTATCCCCGTGGAGAGGGCTGTGGAACCCCTGCACCCCAAGCTTACTCCCAGGGCCTTGCTCCAGGCTAGAACCCTGCTGGTCTGTGTCCCCCCCCCAGTGGATCAACGCTCGGAGGTCCCCAATGGTGGCAGAGTGTGCACTCTGTGTGTGTGTGTGTGTGTGTGTGTGTGTGCACGCGCGCACACGATGTATGTGAGTCTGCGTGTATGTGAGAAAGTGGGTCATGGTCTGGATTCTGGGGAATGTTTTTCCTGGCAGGCCCCTGCGGGCTGGTGGGGGGAGGCGGGGGCCCAGGCAGGGGCCGATGCCGCTGAGCAGGCAGAGGCCGGCAGATTGGCTGGTGACACCACTGGGGCACTATAAAGAGGGGATGGGCCCAGGTTTGGGTGGGGGCAGGACTGCCCAGCTGGCCTTTCTCATCACTAGGTTTCCTTTGGGTCTCCTGGCTGGGGCATAGTCCCTTTGCGGGGGGCTGTCCTTTAAGTGGGCCCTGTCGACATTTGGCCAAGGTGGGTCACTAGGGGACAGGGTGGATCCCAGCTATTTTTGAACCACCTCTTGGTTTATAATCACTTTTTGAGAGATGCGGCCTTAAGGGGAATTCCTTGAGTGTTAGCTGAGAATCAGCCCCGGGGCTGGGTGCCTCTGTCCCCACCCTGGACCCTTGCCTGTCTCTCATCTCTGGTGCAGGCCAGGAGTATCTCTAGATACTGCTGGGAAATGGGACTGTAACGCCAGGCAGCCTGGGTCCCTGCAGCTGGACCTCTGGCTGGGGCTGACCCTGGGATCTCCTAGGCTGCTGGGGTCAGGGAGAACGCCTGATACCTTACTTGCCTGGGCTTGTGACAGGGGCAGCCCTGTGGCATCCCCTCTCCTGCCCTTGTCCCTTTCATTGATGGCTAAGTTCTGGGTCCCTGGGTTTTGCAGAGTTTTAACTGCCCCTCTTTCTCACATATATACCTGAGGCTGTGGTTGGGCACCCTGAAGCCTCACCTGCACCTCTGGCACACAGAGCCCCCAAGGTGAGCCGTTGGTCTGCACTTGTGGCCAGGGTGTGCACCTGCTGTGCCCAGCATGCAATACTGAGTATTCAGCAAGGCCAAACATGGTACAGATGGCTTCGCGGGTGATTTCTTATCAGTCATTCACCTTCCCAGGAGAGAGGGCCGGGGTTCTGTCCATTCCGCCTATGGGAACATGGGCTTGGAGGGGCAGGGCCTGTCCAGAGTCATCCAACCCCTGGGGCTCCCTCTTCCCAGGCACTGCAGCAAAGCTCTCAGGTCCTCCGTGGGTGCCCAGAGGAGGGTGGAAAGGAGGTGTGTGTGTGTGTGTGTGTATGTGCTTTCCCAGCCTGGATCACCCACCCCAGGCTGGTCTCCCACAGGAGGTGGAGGCACTAGGCTGGAGCAAATCTTGTAGGATCAGGTTGCAGGGGCTGGGACTGTCTGGGTTCTGGGCTCATGGGTGTGAGGCTGGGCCCTCCTGGGGCCATAGGAGGCTACAGGAGCAACCCCTTGGCATTCACCAGCTGCTTCTTAGCAACCCTGGGGCTGCTTTGCATGAGCAATGAGGCCTGTCCAGTTGCAGGGCCTTGGAAGTTAGGAGTTGGAAGGGGTGGGCCAGAAACTGACCCTCTGGAGGCTGCCTTCCCCTCCTCCCTTCCCCCATCCCCACATTGGGCACTCCCTGCTGGGCCCCTTTCCTTCTGCTGACAGCTCTCTGGGCAGCTGGAAGAGTGGGACAGGAGAGTGGGGGCCGGGGCTTTGACCTGAGATGCTCCCAGCTCACTTGGTTGGGTGGTGAATGGGGCAGGGGGAGGTGCTGTTATGTCCTCCCTCAACTAGAACTGAGGACCTAGGGTCGTCCCCAGGATGGAGCCCTTCTGAGTGTCCCCAGGGCCTGAACCCTGTTCCTGAAGTCCTGGTTTCTGACAGATCTCCTCCTCCCTCTGTCTTGGTCCCCAGTTCTGGCATAAAGCATGCTTCCATTGCGAGACGTGCAAGATGACTTTGAACATGAAGAACTACAAGGGCTATGAGAAGAAGCCCTACTGCAATGCGTGAGTCCTAGCCCGGGCAGTGGGGGTGGGGTGGGGTGGGGAAGGGAGCTGGCTGGGCCCATTGGCTCCCTCCCCCTAGGGCTCCCTTCCCTACCAGATAATCACAAGGTGACCTTGGCCAGCACTTGCACACCAAACGTTACAGAAAAACACATTTTGTCCTTAAGACAACTGGAGGGAATCAAGGGCTATTGTTATTCCCCGTTTTATACATGGGGAAACTGAGGCTTGGGAGAAGAGAATGTTGGCTTGCTGAAGGTCAGATGGCAATAGAGCAAGGACGGTTTTTGCTATGAACCACGGTCACTTGCTATGAATCACCTCCCCCACTGTGGTCTCTCAAGGATCAGCGTCCAGCCTTATTCCCGGGTCTAGAGTTGGTTGGGGGCTTTGTCCTCCCTCACATAGCCATCTTTCATTGGTTTCCCTGTAATGGCAGTTGACACATTCCTCCTTTGCCTAGCCCCTCCTTCTTGGTCCCTTCAAGAAAGTTCTGGAATCCTGGCATCAGCCCTTCTGAGGTCATGGCTGAAGAGGTGGGGGTAGCGTGAAATCTGCCTTGCAAGGTGGCTGAGTGTAGTTAGCTTAGTCCGTGGGTTTTTGGCTCTGGGACCTGTTGTCTGGTTAAGATGTTGGGGGTGGTTGGGTGGGGAGGTCCCAGCTGGACTGCCACACAGTGCCATACCTTCCTTCTTCAAGGGTATCTTGTAGTCCATGCCAGGTCCACAGCCCTTGGGACCTCAGGCCAACTCCTGCAGCCTGGGGGAGTTTCAAAAGATCAAGACATTTGCAAGCAGGTATAATAGATAATTTAGGATCCAGTGTAGATCTGGTTTCTGTTTTTTGTTTTTGAATTCTCAGGTCAGAGGCTCTCTGCCGACAAAGCTTACCCAGGAAGGGAAATTAGAACTTTCTGGAAAAGGGGCCATACTGAAGCCCCTTGGGAAGGCTGTCTGTCCCTTTGCCCTCTCCCACTCCCCAGCTGACCTAGCTGCCCCATCCCTCTGGGGCTGAATCATTTATGCCCACCTGCTGCTCTATGGCCCCTGTGCCAGGTGCTGGGAAAACAGATGTCCAGGAAGATCTCAAGCCCAGTAAGCCCTGTGAGAGGACCCAGAGCCTGGAGCAGGTTGCCTGGGGGTGGAGAAAGGGGTCCCAGCCCTGCCCCAGCTCCTGTGAGCTGCCCCTCCTGTCCACAGCTCCCTCTCTTGGACTCCTCCCACCCCCCCAAGGGAAATGGGACATTCTTGGAATTCTTAAAGGCTCACACAAGCCCTGGTTCTCTGCCACTTCCTCCCTCTGTTGGGGAGTGGGGTGGGGTCCCATGGCGCCCACACAGTTAACCCCTGGGCTGCTGGGCCACTCTTCGGCAGACTCTGAGCAGTGTGGGTGGCTGGGCCCCAAGGCTTCTCTGCCAAGTGTCCAGGAGCCTAGGAGTCAGAGCTAGAGAAAGAGACCCAAGGCTTCTCCCCCTTTTCTGCTCTCACAGCCTAATGCCAATGTCTCCTTTGCTGAACTTTGTTCTGGAGAGGCCAGTGCACTTGGGGGTCTTCTGGTCCCCCAGCCCCATCCTGGCATCCAGCCCAAGGCAAGCTTTCTCTCCAGTCTTTGCAGCCCTGGCACTGCCCTTCCAGCTGCCCTTTGGTCCATCGGGCGGGGGGCCCTGGGAAGGACTCTGGGGGAGGGGCAGACTAGGGTCAGTTGTGACCCAGTTGTGTTTCACCTTGGCTGTGATTTGCACCTTGCCCAGGCCTGTAGGGATTCCAGGATGAGCCACGATGAGGCTACCTGCTAGGAATGGACTCCCAACCCCAGAGCACCTGCTGGGAGCCAGGTGCTGGGCCAAGCTGACTGTCATTCCTTCTTTATTAAATAAACATGTTATTATTTATTTGAAAGGCAGAAGGACAGAGATCTTTCATCTGCTGGTTCACTCCCAGAAGGGCCACAAAAGCCCAAGTTGGGCCAGGCTGAAGCCTGGTCTCCCATGTAGGTTCAGGGACCAAGATCTTCTGCTGCTTTTCCAAATGCATTTGCAGGGAGCTGGATCAGAAGCAGAGCAGCTGGGATTCCAACTGAAACAGGATGCTGTCACAGGTGCAAGCTTTAACCTCTGTGCCTCAACTTCAGCCTCTTGTTTTGTTTTCTTTTTAAAGACTTATTTTATTTTAAAGTCAGATTTATCAAGGGAAGGAGAGACAGAGAGGAAGATCTCCTGTTCACTGGTTTTCTCCTCAAGTGGCTACAGTGGCCGGAGCTGAGCTGATCTGAAGCCAGGAGCTTCTTCTGGGTCTCCCTCGTAGGTGCAGGGTCTCAGGGCTATGGGCCATCCTCAGCTGCTTTCCCAGGATACAAGAAGGGAACTTGATGGGAAGTGGAGCAGCCAGGATATGAACTGGTGTCCATATGGGATCCTAATGCATGCAAGGCAAGGACTTTAGCCACTAGACTACTGTGCCAGGCCCAGCCTCTGGTTTTCTTATTACCACCTCTGGCCCTGTCCTCTGGTTGAGAATCCCGTGGTGTCTAGGAGTTGCCTTCCTCCATTCCTTTCCTGGCCACACCTGCCTGGTGCTGGGCTAAGTGGGGTAGCTGTTCTCCTTAGCACTTTGCCCAGGAACTGGGTGTGGAGGTGAGGCGGGGTTCTGGTCTCTGGCCTGTGCCTGAGCTCTAGCAGTTAAGAGAGAAGAGGCCTCACACAATGGCTCAATTGTCCAGTTTTCCCCCTTCAAGTGCTAGGATCCCATATGGGCGTGTCCCTGCTGCTTTGCTTTCATCCAGCTCCCCGCTTGTGGCCTGGGAAAGCTGTCTAGGATGCCGAAGACTTTGCACCCATGTGGGAGACCCAGAAGATGCTCCTGGCTCTGGCTTTGGATCAGCTTGGCTCCAGCTGTTATAGCCATTTGGGGAGTGAACCAGCGGATGAAATCTTTTCCTCTCTGTCTCTCCTTCTCCTCTCTGTGTATCTGACTTTCTAGTTTCCAATAAAAACAAATAAAGTGTTTAAAAAAGAGAGAGAGAGAAGGAGAAAGCTGTCTGTCTTTGGGCCAGCCCTGTTTGCATCAGATAGGGCGAGGACCCAGACTGGAGCTTGCCATTGGTCCCTTGTCTGCTGGGCCTCAATGACACATGTTTGTACCCATGCAGGTGCAACCCCCTAAGCACTGGATGAGGAGGAACTGAATGGATTCCCTTTCACGCAGCCACAGGGGCGTGGCTGTGGCAAGGTGGAGGCCAGGGCTTTGACTGGGTACAGTGTGCAGTGGTGGAGGAATTGCTGATCCAGTTCTTTCTTGAATCTTCTGGGTGGCTGGGGTTGAGAAGTGTTTAGGCCCTGGATAGCCTGTTTGTACACTGGGCTTTCCCACAGCCCTGGCTTGCTACAAACCTGCTTCTTTGTTTCCATGCAAATAGGCTGGGAGCCTGAGAGGTAGGACTGGGAAGAAGCTTGGGCTGGGGGTGGGATGGCGGGGTAAGGCGGTGGGGGGGCATGGGGGTGTAGTAGGGTGTGGGGGTGTCGTAGTGGCAGGGGAGAGGAAAGGATGGGGACTTGGGGGTTTCATGCCAAGTTATCACTTTTTTGGGGCATCTTGACTGAAGACTTCGGGGTCTTTCAGTTTCCTGGGGAGAGTGGAGATGACCAGGGTTCGAACTCTGGCTGGACCCAGCTCAGGGGGCACACTTTTGGTCTCAGTGTCCCTGGGTCCCCATCTCCTCCTTGGAAAAGTGACTTAGAAATTGGGGTTTTGTTGCAGTCCCCAGAATTCTCTGCCTGTGTTGGGGAAAGTTGGGGAGCAGCCCCCTTGGGAGTCATGGTGGGCTCAAGAGGCAGAGGCTCAAGAGATGCCCCCAAGGGGGTACAGTTGCAAACAGATGGCCAGAGTGACCAAGTGGTCTCCCCAGGCAGCACCCACACCCCGCAAGCACAGTGATCCCTGATCCCGGGGCCCAGGAAGCCTCAGAGATCGCCTTGCCTACTGATAGCTCCCTTTTAGGAAGAAGGAAGCAGTGGCTCAGCATTTCAGGGTTCAACATGGCTGGTGCAGGCTTTTTTTTTTTTTTTTCTCCTTTTTACATTTTATCTGCCTTCATTAGGAGGGGACTGGTAAGTCCTTCCATGATGGCTTGGCTTGCTGGTTGTTTCCTCTGGTCAGACAGTGCCTCCTGCTCGCTCCCTGTCCTTGTTGCTTCAGCCCCTTACAGTCCTGGGACTGGTGGCAGACAGGATTAGCAGGGAGTGGCCACCCTCCCAGCCCACAGGCAGTGTTCCCAGTGAGGGGCTTTGGGATCAGCGCCTTCCAGAGGCAGCCTGTCACGGCTGGGCTCTTTGTTTTTTGCCCCTTTTGGTAAGACCAGAAGCTTCTTGTTGCTTTTGTTACTGTTTTTTGTTCTTCCCTGAACACAGAGCTGTGGGTTTTTGGAGGGGCTGGAGCCTGGAAGGGGGGGTGGCCCCAGGGGCAAGCAGGAGCTGCTTTGTGTCTGTTCTGCTTCTGAGTGGGTGGTGGGGCTCATGGCAGGACTTAGGGGAGGGGGTGCAGCTGGCACCCATGTGCCCTCAACCTCTCACTTCCTCAGAGCAGGGTGCTGATCCAAGACCCTGGGGACAGCAGCGCCTCTGCTGCATCCCTTCAGGTTTCTGTCCAACCTCTCGAGATGTGTACTATGGACAAGTTGTAACAGGAAGCCTGGACCAGGGTGGCTGGGACCCCCATGGGTTGGGTTTGGAGGACAAAGCACCCTGTGGTGCCTTCACCCTGTCAGGCACAGCTTTCTCAGAACTCTGGGACCCTGTCCTTGGTGCTGAGCCTTGCTTTCTTCATCCCTAAAATGGGCACAGGGACCTGGGCTGCCTTTGCTAACCCCAGGCCTTGGGGCAGGAGTACGTGGGGAGAGGCTGCTGCTTTGGGCGCCTGTATGTTCTGCTGACCTGCAGCAGCCTGCTTGCCCCGCCTTGACCTTGTGCTGGCTCCTGCTCTTCCTGGCCAGGAGAGAGGTGCCTTCCTGGTTTTACCTTCTCAGATACTGAGCCCTCCCCTTTCCCCCAGGACTATCTCATCTGGGTCTGTCAGTCACCTGAGTGTTGCTAGCAGGCAGATGGGGGGGGGGTGCAGCTGCAGGGAGCCCCTCTACCAGGGCTGTTCAACAAGGGGCCTAGGCCAGCCCATTGGCAGGGACAAAGAGCAGCCGTGCTGGCGACTCGGCTCTACTCCTCAGCTTCCTCACTCCGACCCTGGCTCCCTCATCCTGGCCCATTATACTGGGGTAGCCATCTGGGGTACAGTGTCCCCTCCTCTGTCCGAGCACCCATATTGGCATGGACACGTGCATTTGCTCCAGCTGGGAATCTGAGGATGGGGGATGGTGGGAGACAAGGGTGGAGGAGACAGAAGATGGGTTTCCCTATGGCTGTTTCTGGAAGAAGGTCGGATCCAGCCGAGTCCCCTTGGAAGCCTTTCTGGTGGTAAGGGGGAGGGGGAACACAGGACTGTGCTTGGGTTCCCCCTTTTGCCACACCTGCCTGAGTCCAGCTCCTGCAGACCCCAGATCCCACAGCTGCCAGCTCCCAGGGTTTGCCCTCACACTGGGCTCCTCCTCCCTGAGTTGCTTCCTGTCCAGATCTTCTACACACACACACCCCCATTCCTGGATCTCCATTCCCTGTAACCGCCCCCTGCTCCTGCTCTCCTGCCTGGAGCTGAGGATGAGGTTGTCATGGCAACGGGAAGCGCAGCAGCAAGCTGGGGAAGGGAGAGGCAGGGTTGTCGCCAGGGCTGGGGGCTGTTGGGGAGGGGACGCGTTGACCCAGCAGGAGGAATGCTGCCCGTGCTGTCTGCCTTCCTCTGCCTGGGATTGCGTTCAGGGGGGTGAGGGTTAGGGATTGGAGTCTCTGCAGCTCCTCGTTAATCTAGTTAGTCTGATGCAGGATTAAAATTGTTCCCTGCCATCCAACTGAGTCAATGTCAAGCTGTAGACCCCCCTTACCACCACCACCATGGGATTAGAATTCCAGCCATCCCCAGCTGAGGCTGTGGTGGGAGGGGCTCCTGGGCCTTCTGCAGGGTGGAGGGGGGTAGAGCAGAGGCCGCAGCGTGGGGTGTGGGAGCTGTCACGTGGTTACTGGTGTGGACCTGCTAGTCCCTGCATTCATTGTGCTACGGTGTGTGTGGCGTGTGACAGGTGCACACGTGGGACCATCCATTTTAACTCTGTAAGTGCAGACAAGTGAGGAACCCCAGGGAGCGCAGGGGGCTCCCTGTGACATGGCTTGGTGGAGCATGGCAGCAAGGCCGCTCCCCCACCCCCGCCGGCCTCCCCTGATGCCACCAGGCTGCCTGGAGATTCGTTTTTGTTCCTTGTCCCTGGAATTTCCAGTGGAGCTCAGTGTGGGTGGCCCAGGCTAGATAGAGCTGGGCCAACCTCAGGAACTGGATTCACAACAGCTTTTGCCCTTTCCATCTCTGAGCCATTTCTGTATGCCACCATGGGAAACTGTGTTTGCTTTGTCCTTTCCTGGGGAAGCTGCTTGCTGGGCTGACCTGGGCTGCCAAGACCCAGGTGGGCCCAGCTGGAGTTAGCTAGGTCGGTGGCAAGGGAGGGTTTGCCTGGGTTTGCTTCCAGTTAGTGAAAGGGCCAGAGGCCCTCCACTGAACCCTTGCTGGTCATGCCCCTCCTTAGCTGAGTTCTGCTCATACCAAGCTGTGTCCTTCCCAACTCATGTATCTGCAGGTTGTTGTGCTCAGCTGGTGCAGGGGGCTGGGGAAAGGCCAGGTGTTGTAGAGCACAGGTGGGCAGCGTACATCTGGCTCATGGACATACTAGCCAGCTGGGATGGTTCCCATCTGGAATGATGTCCCAGGAGCTGATCTATCACTCATCTGGGTGCCACCTGTGGGACCAGGACCTGCAGTGGTCATAGTGTGGCCATGGTGGTCAGACATGGGACTCCTGCTGACCTGCCATCCCCAGTCCCCGCCACAAAGTCCTCTGCTATTGTAGCCATAACTAGTTCTCATCCTGGCCCAGCCTCAATGTGTGACAAGTGTATTCTAGCAACTCTCCTGGGAGCTTGGAATAATCCACAAGCAAAAGAGACGGGAGACTATCCTCCTTCCACATCACCTGCCCCTGTATGGGACGGATGCGGTCAGGCAGCTTGTTAGGAAGCTGCCCGGGATGAATGCCAGCGCCAGTGGGCTGGGCCCTGCTCTGGGCCTCGCGGGGTGAGAATCAGGATGGGCAGTCCCTGCAGGCTTGGCTCAGGTGCTGCCTAGGTTCCTGAGACCTTGCTGGCCCTCTGTCTTGGGTAATGGCCCCAGGGCTGGAGACGGACGGTGTCCTGGAGCGTGCTGGCTTGCTGGCTGGGGTTGGGTGCTGCAGGTGCAACTGGGCTGTTGTCTTCCTTCTGTTGCCTTGGTTTTCTTTCCAAGGGATATCCGAGGCTGGCACTGGCCAGCTTTAATCCAAGGACAGCTGGGAGGACCTGAGGAAGCTAGACGGGCAAGCCCTTAGCACAGGACAGAAGTGTGCACTTGTAGCTTGGCACCCCAACGTGACCTTTGACTCCCCACTGGTCTGTGTGTTGAGCCTCCGGGCTTTGTCACTGCTTCCCTCAGGATGCCCTCCTGGATGTGTGTTCCTCTCCTCTTCCATCTTCCTAGCACTCTAGACCATCCTTCCATCTGGTCTCTGCTGCTGGTCTGAGTCTTTCTCCCCAGTCAGCCTGGGCTGTCCTGGGCCACCGAGTCCCCTGTCTGAGGATCTGGGTGGCCTTGCTGAGTGCATGACTATTTTCCATGGCCAGGTGGCCGTTCGGCCCACCCTGCCGAGTCTGGGTAGTGCCTGCTTGCCGATGCCAAGGTCCTGGGGCTGGGACGGGGAAAGAGGAAGTGGTCAGGAGAGAGCCAGGGTTCCGAGCGCCCAGAGTGACGCGTTCTCTTTTTCCTGTCCGGCAGACACTACCCCAAGCAGTCCTTCACCATGGTGGCTGACACCCCGGAAAACCTCCGTCTCAAGCAACAGAGTGAGCTCCAGAGTCAGGTGAGGGGCGGGCCCGGGGAGGCTGTTGTAAGCCCCGGATTTGGTAACGGCCCTCTTCCTTCCCCTGCGGTCAGAGTCCTGGCCCTGGCTTTGTCTCCCTGCCTCAACATCTGGGTGTTTCCTGGCTTTATCAAAGGACTGGGGAGGGCATGGCCTTGTCTGTGCCAAGTGGGTTGGATGGAAGTGGGTATCTTTATGACTCTTGTCTGCCCCCCCCCCCCCAAATCCTGCCTCCTCTAGGAAGTTGCCCCTCTCCCACCTCTCATTCAGAGCCACCACAGCAGAGGATCCTGGGGAGCCCACGGGGCGAGGTGGGGAGGAAGCTCACTTCTACCCCAGGTTCCTGTCATGTCCCCACGCCTTGGAGGGCAGGGTACGATGGGTCCTGTCCTGTGTGTCTTGCTTTCTGAGTGCCATGGCAGGTCGGGGCCACATGGCTGCCCTGTGAAAGGGGCAGGATGGCTTCCTGGCCCAGGGAGAGCAGTTGGATTTCAGGGGACTCTACAGGGTAAACACAGGGGCTACAGCCCCAACACTAGAGCAGCAGGCCTGCGGCCCGGAGGGGAGCCTGGGCACAGCAGAACTTGAGGCTGTTGGGCAAGAGAATGGAGGCAGGTGGGGTTACCCAAGCCTGGATGGTGGTACAGGTCTACCTGGGCCAAAGAAGGATCTTTTCTGGTCCCTTGGAGTGGGACTTCAGCTGCCTGATCTTTTTTTTTTTTTTTTTAAGATTTGTTTTTATTAGAAAGGCAGTTTTATTGAGAGAAGGAAAGACAGAAAGAGCTTTTCATCCATTGCTTCATTTCCCGAATGGCCACAACAGCTGGAGCTGAGGTGATCCAGTACCAGGAACTTCTTTTGGGTCTCTCACACAGATGCAGGGTCCCAAGGCTCTGGAGCATCCTCCACTACTTTTGCAGGCCACAATCAGGGAGCTGGATGAGAAGTGGAGCAGCCGAGAGATGAACTGGTGCCCATATGGGATGCTGGCTCTTTCGGGTGGAGGATTAGCCTGTTGAGCCATGGTACCAGCCCTTGCCTGATCTTCATAAGAGAGAAAGAGATATTCTACCTATAGCTGAGGCCAGGACCATGCCAAAGCCAGCAGCCTGGAACTCCATGCAGGTGTTCAACTTGAGTGGCAGAAACCCAGGTACTTGAGCCAGCATGCGCTGCCTCCCAGAACGTGCTGGAAATTGTACCCAGCTACCCTAATATGAGATACAGATGTGCCAATGTTTTTATTTATTTTAATATTTATTTGAAAGGCACAGCCCCATATACCTGCAGCAGTTAGGTCTGGGCCAGGCTAAAACTATAATTCAGGTACTCCTTCCAGGTCTCTCGTGTGGTGGCCTGGGGGCCAAGGGACCCAAGGACTTGCATCATTAGTCCTTTCTGTGAGGAAGGGGCTGGACTGCGAGTCGAGCAGGGGCGACTTAATTACTGCGTAACGTGCTGTGCCACAACACCCTCCCTAGATGTCATCACAGCCCTGGTGGCCATCCTCTGCTGCCTGACCTGACTGGACCCGTCTGGGTCCTGTGAGTAGAAGCAGCCCTGTCTGCGTAGGAGGGCTATGCTGCAAGGGACTTGTTGAGGACTTAAGTGCATCTAATGCCCCAGGCAGTTCGGTTCCTGGGTCCTCACCGCAGCCCCAAGCGGTGAGTGGTCACACCTCCTCTCTGGAAGAGGAAGTCCACGCTGCAGCCTCTGGATACAGATTTGTCTAACCTAAAACTGCAACTTTTAAAAATAGTGAGTTAATTAATTTAAGAGGCACAGCAGGAGAGAGAGAGAGAGAGAGAGAGATGGTTGCAAAGGGTGGGGGCTGGGCCATGCCAAAGCCAGGAGCCTGGGACTGCATCCCAATCTCCCATGTGGGTGGGCGGCAGTGATCCAAGTTGATACTGTAGCTCCAGGGTTTTCAGCTTTCTGTCCAACTGCCCAAGAACAGCCCCTGCCTGACCATAACCTGCATGGTCGCTGGTGCAGGTGAGGACTTGCCTGGCCTTGGTGAGTTTACCTCCTCTGTTTTGGACTTAACTTGGAGTACCTGTCACCCCTGTTCTACAAGTGAAGGAGGGAAGCTGGGAAAAGCTGGGCTTTCCTTACCCGTGGACACTTACAGTGTGTAACGTTCCCAAGTTGCGATCCAGTCTTGTCCCTCCCACATGTGCAGGCAGGCCTCTAGTAGGTTCTGTGGTGGTGGGGGGAACTGAAGGGAGGCCGCCAGTGTGGCCTGGCCACTACGCTTCCTCCTCTGGAGCCTGCCTGCCCAGCAGAGCTGACAGCTAAGGGGGGATCCCCCCAGGTGCACCTGGTTGGGAGAGGGGTAGGGACTGTAAAGACTCCCCATTCTGAGAAGGCTGCCTGGGACCTGGAGAGAAGCGATGCTGGGAGGAGGTGACAGGCCTGGAAAAGGTGCAGGTGGGAACATGCCCTCGCACGTGTGCGTGTGGCCACACACACGCCCCCGCTACCCTCAGGAGGAGAAATTCTACTCCTAGAGCCATTGTCAGCCCCACAAAAACTTGGCTGCAGCTCTTTTTAATCCTGGAAGTTGATCCCTAAGTGGGGGGAGTCTGAAGCAGGAAGGGGTGCCCTCACTCTTACCCCCTCCTCCAGGGTGAGGAGATAAAGGGGGCAGGCAGAGTCCACTTCTTCCCGGAGAAGCAGCTAGCACAGACAGGATTTAGAGGTTCCTGGCCTCGCCTCTTCTAAGGCCTGGCCTGCCTGAGGCTCCCATCCTGGGTAGATCTCCCAAGCACCCTGGGAAAACCAGGAGAATGACTATTTTTATTTTTATTTTTTTATTGGAAAGTCAGATATACAGAGAGGAGAGACAGAGAGGAAGATCTTCCATGCGATGATTCACTCCTCAAGTGAGCGCAACGGCCGATGCTATGCTGATCCGAAGCCAGGAGCCAGGAATTTCTTCCGGGTCTCCCACACGGGTGCAGGGTCCCAAGGCTTTGGGCCGTCCTCAACTGCTTTCCCAGGCCACAAGCAGGGAGTTGGATGGGAAGTGGAGCTGCCAGGATTAGAACCGGCGCCCGTACGGGATCCCGGGGTGTGTTCAAGGCGAGGACTTTAGCCACTAGGCCACTGCACTGGGCCCAGAATGACTATTTTTAAATGTTTATGTATTTCCATCCACTTAAAAGGAAGAACAACACAGAGATTTTTTTTCACCAGCAGGTTTACTTCCTGCCTGTGCCCAACAGCCAGGCTTTAGTCAGGTTGAATCCAGGAGCTTAGAGCTTCACCCAGTTCTCCTGGGTGGATGACAGGGGCCCAGGTATTGCACCATTATTGCTGCCCTCCCAGGATGGCACCAGCAGGAAGTTGGATTGGAAGCAGGCTAGCCAAGACTGGAACCAGGCTCTCAGATGATACGGGATTGCGTGTCCCAGGCAGTGGGCACACCCAGTAATTACTCTCTATCAAGTGCTCCCCAGAACCCCCTGGAGTGCTCACAACCACCTGATGAACCACTGGTGGGGGCCCTGAGGTTTGGAGAGTCCCCGCACTTGCCCAGAGCCCAGTTAGACCCTGTGTGCTAGCACAGCGGATGCACCAGTTACTGGCAAGTGGTAAGGGGCGTGCCGGGATGCAGGTTCCAAGGCCTTGTCCTGAGGGCTGTGATGGGCAGCTCATAGTGAGGCCTAAAAACTTGCATCTTTGACTTTCCTGGGGCTTCTGATGAGGGGAAAAGGTCTCATAGTCATATTCCAGGCAGCCAGCAGCTGGACTAATGGGCCAGAAGGGATGCAGAAGGCAGCTGGAGCTGAGCTCAGCCTGTGTGCAGTGGTGTGAGTCCCCGAGGTTAAGGCTTTGCTGCAGGCATAGCTCCTTCCTGGGATGTGCAGATCCTGGGTTGAGGGCTGGGGTAGGCTGAGGACAGAGTGGAGGCTGTCCTGGCTCACTGGCTGTGTCCCCTCCCGCCTCCCAACAGCTGTGTGCATAGGCAATGGAGCTGGTTTTCCTGCCTGGAGGGAGGCCTGGTGGGGTGGGGGCGAGGAGGTGACTGACCCTACTGCTCCAAGGTTAGGAAGTGCTGAGCTGGCCTGGCTGCGGTGCTGACAGGTTCTCTTTCCTCTGGCCACTGTTGTGGGGGCAGGGCTAGTTCCAGCTGCCAGTGGCAACCAGGGAGGGAAGTGGGAGTGTCCTCTGGTGCTCTACCCCCATGGCTCTCTCCTGGCCCCTGCAGCAGTGACTGCTCTGGAAGGCTAGCCAGGCTATTTTCCCATATCTATATTGGTCCCTAAAGTGGCACTTTGGGTGTCTGGGACACCTGGAGCCTCCGTTTTTGGTGGCAGTAACCACAGAGCTGTCCGGAAATGAGCCACTGCCTGGGTGGCTGTGTCCAGGCCTGGCAGAGGCAGAGGCAGCCAGCCAGGGCACCCTGACCCTTCTCTCTGTCCACCCCTTCTGTTTCTTACCTATGATGCCCCCTTCCTGACCACAAGCTAAGTATAGACTGCAGTTTGGGATGGACCAGAGTTGGAGGGCTCGGTGTGGCACCCCCAGCCCAGGCAGAAGCGCGAAGAGGCAGGAGTTTCATTGTGTTCTCTGTGGCTCTGTGGGCACTGCCATGGCAGGGAAGGGAAGGGAGAATGCCCTGAGACAGTCCCCTGTTCCCTGGGCAGGGATTGGTGTTTGGCTCCTATGATCTGAGGATCACTCCTGCCTGCACTGACTCCCAGCTGCGCCTCCACCGGTGGCATGTGCTTGCGCAGGCTGGAGACCCACCCTGTGCCCTGGCTGTGTTTCTGTTGAGGATGTGAGGATGGGTGGGGCCCGTGGGGCCCGCCCTAGTGCCTGGCCTGGAGCCCACACTGAGTGTTGCCTGTAAGGGAGAGGGCATGAACTTGGCCGGTATGACCAGAGGACAGATGTGACAGCCTTGCCTCCAGCCCTGGTTTTTCTCATGAGCTCTCCTCCTCCACTGTAGGAAGGTCCTTTAAAAACCCCCAGAAATGGAATAAAAGCATCAAGTTTATTTTTGTGCAAAAAAGAATGATGTGGTCTTTTTTTTTTTTCAATTCATGTATAGCTTTGTTGTTATACATATTTTCCATGAATTGTGAAAAAAAAAATTTGGCACCAAGGTAAAATTCCTATTTCCTTTTTTTTTTATGATTTACTTAATTTTTAAATTTGGAAGGCAGAGTTACAGGGAGTGGTAGGGAGAGAGCAGGCATGAGAAATCTTCTGTTTCCTGGTTCACTTCACAAATGGCCGCAACAGTCAGGGCTAGCCCAGGCCAGCGCCAAGAGCATAGGACTTTGTCCGCTGTCCGGGTCTCCTACGTGGGTGCAGGGTCCCAAGCACTGGGACCATTTTCTCCTGCTTTTCCAGGCACATTAGCATGGAGCCGGATCTGAAGTGGGATAGCCAGCACTCCAAGCAGTGCTTCTGTGGCATGTCGCTGTCATAGATGGCAGCTTGACTGACTGTGCCACAGCACTGGCCTCAGAAACCTTCTTTTTCTTAAGATTTATTTCTTTTTATTGGAAAGTCGGGTTTACAGAGAGGAGGAGAGACAGAGAGATCTTCCATCTGCTGGTTCACTCCCCAACTGGCTGCAACGGCTGGAGCTGAGCTTATATGAAGCTGGGAGCCAGGAGCTTCTTCTGGGTCTCCCATGCGGGTGCAGGGTTCCAAGGCCTTGACTGCTTTCCCAGGCCACAAGCAGGGAAGTGGAGCAACTAGGATATGAACATATGGGATCCCAGCGCATGCAAAGGTGAGGATTTAGCCACTAGGTTATTGCGCTTGGTCTTTTTTTTTTTATTTAAAAGACAGATCCAGAGGGAGAGAGAGAGAGAGAGAGCTTCCATCTGCAGGTCTTCTCTCCAAATGGCCATAATGGCTGGGGCTGGGCCAGGCTGAAGCCAGGAGCCTGGGACTCCATCCATGTGCCTACATGAATGGCAGGGGCCCAAACACTTGCATTAGGCTCTGCTGCCTTCCTGGACTCTTAAGCAGGGATCTGGACTGGGAAGCAAAATCATCAGGAGCTGCACTGGTGCTCCAATTCAGGTGTCACAGGTGGCGGCCCTGCCACCATGCAGTCCCCAGGACTCCTAATTCCACTTCTCCTTCAGCTTTGTGAGGCGCCCCTCATTGTGTCCAACATCTCTGATTTCTTTGGTTTCAAAGGGGATGTGAACCTAACACAGCAAGTACATTCTAAGTGGAAGCGGTTGGTGGCATGTTTTTGCTCAATACATTTCTTTTAAAGACATGATCTTCCTTCATTTGTTGGGTCGTCAAGGTGGTTATTCCCCCTGCCACCCCTCATGCTGCCTTGTTCATTGTATCCGTCGTCATTCCTTCAGTAGGCGTTAATCTGAGCCTGCTGTTGGCTGGCATATGTGACCGAGGAAGTAGACGCAGGGAGTTTCCGGGCTCCTTCTCATGTGGGTGTTGGGAGCCCGTGGCGTCATTTCTGGCCTTAACGGGGGAATTCCTAGTGGATGCAGTTACCTGCTCGGGTGTGAACTGGCAGCTGGGTTGGTGTGAACTGGCATCTGGGTTAAGTGGCCTTGGGCAGGTGAGTCTGGGTAAGGAGAAAGGCTGAAAGGGCTGCAGGCCGGCCCTCCCTTTGACCTCTGCCACCCCTTCCAGCACCACAAGGCATCTCAGAGAATCTCACTTTCATTCTCCATACATGCCAGGCCAGAAAGCCCAGGTGTTAGTTCAGTTGGATCTGAAGTGAAGTAGCTGAGGCATGACCTGGCACCCATAAGAGATTGAGTTTGGGCTCAGCCCAGGCGCGGCTGATGGCCTTTGAGAGATGACCCAGTGTTGGGGGAATTGTGTGCTTGCTCTCTGTCTCATACATTTTTTTTTAAACATGGTCAAGAGCTGGTGCTATGGCATAGTAGACTAAGCTTCTACCTGAAAGGTCAGTGTCTCAGATGGATGCCAGTTCATGCCCTGGTTGCTCCACTTGCAATCCAGCTCCCTGCTCATGTCCCTGCGAAGGCAGTGAAGGATGACTCAAGTACTTGGGCCTCTGCACCCATGTGGGAGTCCTGAAAGAAGTTTCAGGCTCCTGGCCTCTGTCTGGCTCAGCTCCAGCCATTGCAGCCACTGGGGGAGTGAACCAGCGGATGGAAGGTTGCTCTATCTCCTCTCCCTGTAACTGCCTTTCAAATAAAAACAAATTAATCTTTAAAAATACAAATGAAACAAAACACAGACTTCAGAGTGGGAGGGCCCTTGGAGCATAGCCAGGCCACTGCCTTCAATGACCAACTGGCTTGTGGGGGGAAGCAGGGCGGGGGGGCCCTGACACGGCCAAGTGGCCCTTCTCTGCAGCCTACCCTCCTGTGTTAGGAGTGAACTCAACCCTCCTGCCCCAGCAGGGAGGGAGAGGTACTTCCCCAGCCTGGGAACCAGCCCCTGTCCTTGCCCTGTTGCCATGGTGATTTCTGTCTGGATTAAGGAGCCTGACCCGGCAGGGCAGGAAGCTGAGGAGTGGTGGTTGCTGGGCGGCAGCATTTGCTCCCCAGTGGTAAGTCCTGAGCCACTTAGATGATGGTATCCATTTTATAGATGTGGACACTGAGGCAGCAGAAGTGGGTTGAAGATCAGTCTGCAAGGAGGAGATTGGACCCAGGTTCCGATCTGCTCCAGAAGCCATGGAAGCCCCCTCCCCATGTTTGAATCACTCCTGGTGCCAGCCCTTCCGGGTTAGGGAACAGAGGTTGTGGGCCATTCGATTCTTCCGTACCTGGAGCCACATTTTTCTGTCCCCTAAGTGCCTTGCTTTGCCTGAAGCCCCTTTCCCACAGGCTCCCCATTAACCTCCCTCCAGCGAGTCATCCTGCTGGGAACACAGGGCTTCCAGGGACTGCTGGTGTTTGGCAGGCATGGGCCCTGGCTGGCTGGGGACTCCAGCCGGAGGATTTCCGGTCTTCTGGGAACTGGTGTATCCAGGCCTTTCAGTCCCAGAGCTCCTGGGGTGGGAGCTCTGCAGGGGGTCTGACAGGTGTGGCTGTGGCCCCTGTCTGGCCAGTGCAGCCAGCTGCGGCTGTTGCTGTTGTCATTGCTGCCAAGCGCCACCCCCGGATGACCCCTCTGAGCCTGGGAGCTGCCTGGGCTCATCATCCTGGAAACTCCCCAGGTCCTGTTCCCGTGTCCTGGGCTGACCGTTTGCAGCGCTGAGCAGCCCTGGGGAGGAAGTTCAGACAGCTGGTGGGGGCCTGCAGCAGATGGCTGCCTAATGGCCCGCTGAGGCTCTTGAAGCTGGCAAGCTGCTCCTGGCCCCAAGAGGGCTTGCAGCCTCCACTCTGTCCCTGATCAGCCCCTGGGGAGGACAGGCTGTTCCTGGGATGTCATGCTCTATAGAGTCAGGGAAGTCCTTGCTCATGGCTGCCTGGAGGTTTCCATGGAATTCTTGGAGCGGGGAGAGCAGGCTTCATGGCCTTTCTTCCCTGGCACTCTCGCTGGCGTCTTTCTGGGCACCAGCTTTGCCCTCTCGCGTGGCCCTCATTCTGTGATGGCTTCAGCCCTCTGCCTGCAGCTCTTGGCAGGTGGGGCCACATCCTGGCTTGGGTGGGAGCTGGGGCAGGCCTAGAGCTCTGGTGAGAACCTTCTTCCTGTGAGCTTTCAAGCAGGAGGGTCTGACAGCAAAGGGTCAGAGGTCAGGCAGATAAGGGTTTCCATCTGGAGGCTCCAGCTAAAGCTAACTTTTGTGACCTGGCCGGGGCTTTGCCCCCGTTTCTTTGTCTGTAAAATGGAACCAATAATAACCTGCAAGTGTGTACACACACACACACACACACACACACACACACACACACACACAGAGGGTGCTTTAAGGAAAGTTGATAGAGAATGGAAAGAATGTTGTTTAGGGTAAATTTTTTAAAAATCCATGCAGAGTTTTTCCTTAATACCCATGTTCCTTGAGTTTAATTTTTCTTTATTGGAAAAGCAGATTTATAGAGAGAAGGAGAGACAGAAAGATCTTCCATCTGCTAATTCACTCCCCCCAATGGCTGCAATGATACGAGCTGAGCTGATCCGAAACCAGGAGCTTCTTCCAGGTTTCCCATGTGGGTACAGGGTTCCAAGCACTTGGGCCATCCTGCACTGCCTTTCAAGGTGCATTAACAGAGCTGGTTCAGAGATGGAGTCTAGAACTGGTGCTCTTCTGGGGTGCTGGCATTGCAGGTGGCAGCTTTGCGCACTGTGCTGTAGCGCTGGCCCTCGCTATTTTTATTCCAACACTCTCTGGCTGAGGCTTCAGCTTGACATGGAGGATTTGGGTCAGGCTCTTTCTCTTCTGCTTCCTATGCCCGTCTGTGCTGGTTGCTGCTTCAGAGCGGGCCGCAGGTTGCGCGCCTCACTCCTGTGCCTCTCTCTCCCTTCCCTCCTGCCCTGCAGGTGCGCTACAAGGAGGAGTTTGAGAAGAATAAAGGCAGAGGCTTCAGCGTGGTGGCAGACACCCCTGAGCTCCAGAGAATCAAGAAGACCCAGGACCAGATCAGTAACGTAAGCCTTGGCCCCCTGTGCCACCCTGCCCCCATCCCCTACCCTCCTGGGCAGGCCTGGCTCTAGGTGCCTCCCCTCCCTTTTCTGTGGGTACTGTTGGGTTTTACTCTGCCAGCTTCCACCCGCATGGTGCTTCCGCTTCTAAGGGCTGTTAAGTCACCCCCACTGTCTGAAGCTAATTTTGCTTCTTTGCCTGGTATGGTGGGTGTCAGGCTGCAGACTGGATGTCTTTGCACAAAAGTCAAAGCTGGGGGTGGGGGCATGCTGCCCCAGCCTCTGGGTGCTGGCTTAGCGGTCATTTCCGCCCTCCTTCAGCCCCTCCTCCACTTAAACATACCCTTCCTTCCTGTGTGAAAACCCCAACTGGGCTTGGGTGCTGGGCCTTCCTGGACCTGGGACGGTCTAGCTACTGCGGTGGGGGCGCCAGTGCGGGTGGGCGTGGTGAGTGGGCAGTAGATCAGTCTCCAGCGAGCTGTCCTCGGCACCTGTGGCCAGAAAATAAGCCTCAGTTTCCTTCTTGGCAGAGCCACAGCCCAGCAGTCTGTGTGGCTCTGGGTTGGCGGTGGGGAGGGGGGATGTTGCTTATTTTGGGCACATGGGGGCAGGGTGCTGCTGCGAGCCACAGAGCAAAATGTGGGCAGAAGAAATGTCTGCAGAAACCTCGGGGCACCCAGCTTCAGTGTGCACCTCAAGCAGGGAGCCGTGTAGTAGTCTGCAACCGGGAGGGGTCAACAAGTTTTCACTTTAACTCTGGGCGCAAGGACCAGGACAGAGGGTGGAGGGGGCCTGGGTTGGAGGTGGCCCACTCACTAGGTCCTCCTTTTTTCCCTCATTCCCTCCTCCTCTCCTGACCCTCCATTTGCCTACTTAGCATACTGCTGTTTTCTGGAGCTTGGCTGGACCACACTCGGGGTGGGCTGTGTGGGGATGCGTGGTTGCCTTTGAGAAGCACAGGGCAGCCGACGGAACCCAGCCGTGCCCAAGAGCGTTTGGCTTTCAAACTTTGACCTGGGACTGTAACAGCCGTTACACTTTATGTGGTGACTCATCAAACAGGGGTTCATTTCCCTAGAGGGCAAAGAAAATCTGGAACTTTGATGAGTGGGCACGTAGCGACGTGGAGGGCGTTGGTGTGTAAAGTTGCTGCTTGTACGTTGATGGGAATGGGAGGTAGCTGGCTGCTAGGTGGTGATTGCAGAGCTCCCCTGGGATCTGGCCAAGTAGGAGGGCTTTGCACAGTGAGGGAGAACTTAGCTGGCCGGGCTGGAACCCTGGCTCGTCTTCCGCCTCTCTGCCTGTCTTAGTCTTCTCTCTTGATATTCTCCTCCCTGTCTGCAGCCCCAGCCCCCCAGCACATTCACCTGTCTTTGCTTCTAGCCTGGGTTTTGGAGGAGCCCTATGACCCCTGCCTCTCTTTCCGAAAGGCCTCCAGATATTCCACCTGTTCTCCCCCATGCCCAATCACTGGAGATGTTCCTGGCTGAAGAGTAAGCAAAAGTCCCTATGGGCCAGAAGTACACACTTGAGGAGATAGCCATCTTATTAAGTAGCCACAGGGCTGGCATTATTTGACCTCTGCTCCAAGTGGTGAAAGTGACTTGAACTGGTGGCTGCTTTGGCAGCTGGGATCTATGAAGAGTGACCTCACAGCTGGTAGATTCAGGGTCTTAGTGAATGCTGGGGGTCTCCACACTCTGGTGTGAGAGCCCCCACAGCAGTGTGACACAGGCAGGTACTGAAGATGTGGACTGACATGCCTCCCACCCCACCCCATGCTGCAGCTCTGGGAAAGGCCCAGGAATCAGCATTTTTGCACATATGGGGGAGGTCTCTGTGCTGCTCAGTGCTACTTGAAGGGTGGGGAGCTGTTGACCTGAAAGTCCATACAAGCTGCCCCAGCCTCCCAGGCCTCCAGGGGCACTCCAGGTCACATGTGAATGCATGACTAAGTTGTCCCAGCCTCACCCTCTGTGGGTAAGAGCATGTTTAAAGCCACCCTTTCTATTTTGCATCCAAAATAGTGCTTCTGTCTGTGGCTTGCCCCTTCCCGGATTAGCTCCAGCTGACTTCTGCTGGCTTCCAAAGTCTGGACTGTCTGGCCGGGGGTGATATTCTAATTCCCCGCATGGGTGGCATTCTACAGAATGGAGAAGGGTGTGCATGTGTGAGTGTTGAAGGTTTAATTTATGTTCATTTTATGTGGAAGGCAGAGAGAGACAGACAGGTGCAGTAGCCAGGGCTAGGTCAGGCTGAGGCCAGGAACCAGGATTCAATAATTCTGGGTCTCCTCTGAGGTGTGTTTGCAGGAAGTTGGGTCAGAAGCACAGGAGACAGCGTGCTGGTAGAGGGTGCAAGCATCCCAGATGGTGGGTTAACCTGTTCGACCATGACACCCATCCTGTGTGAGCTATTTGAAGCTCAACTGGATAGTCAACTCAAGAGAACGAACACTCTTATATTCCTGGCTAGAAACAGAATCCTGGCAGAGCAAGTGCCTATTCAATATTTATGTAACTTCATTATGAGGGCATCAGCTGGGGAAAAGTGAGAAGCAGGAATAAAAGGTTACTATGCTGGCTACCATTAGTGACAGTGTGGGTTCCTGTCCTGTGGTCTGGTAGAGCCATGCACTTCAGAGGTGTCTTTGCGACAGACAGAAATTCTTTCCCTGCCTGTCCGCCACAAAGAAATAACCAGCACTTTGTTTTCTGTAAGTTAACATCAGGTTTCAGAGTCTGGGTAATAATCAGTAGTAAAAAAAAAAAAAAAAGAAAAGAAAAAGAAAAAAATGTTTCCCACAGTCAGATGGTCTGGAAGCAGCTATTGTAGTTTAAGAGCATGCACTTTGCTGTGTAGTTTGAATCCATACCCATCACTTCATGATTCCAATTTTGAATAGACAGGCTGTTATTATTATTATTATTTTTGTCTTGCCACTTCTGTACAGCAGTGGGCTTGAGGACTCAGCTCAATGTAGCGGTCATTCATTCCTTTTCTTCGCTGTACAGCATGGCAGGTTATGCCTCGTTGATTCCTCCGATAGAATGTTGGGAGTTGTTTCCAGGTGCCGTGACTAGCCACACCTATCTCGTGGTGCCTGTGGGGAGCAGAATTACCACCTCTCAGAGTGTGTGGTTGTTCAGGTTTACTGGAGAGGGTCTCCCGGTTCCCTCTGTGAGCCCTGCAGGGGCTAGGACTGGACCCCTATCCTGAGCCATCACCGCTGTAGCCTTGCAGTGATTGGGCTGGTAGGAGGGGCTGCGCTGCTAGGATGCGAGTACAGGAGCCAGAGGTGGATATTGAATCCAGGAACTTTCATACAGGATGTGGTGACTGACTTCATGGCTGGGCCAGACAGACATGCAAACATGTTCATTGTAGCCGTTGTGGAGCTGGTTTAATCCTCTACCTGCAACACTGACATTCCATGGGCGCTAGTTTGTATCCTGGCAGCTACACTTCCAATCTAGCTCCCTGCTTATGTCCTGGGAAAGCAGCAGAGGATGGTCCAAGTCCTTGAGATCCTACACCCAAATGGGAGGCTGGGAAGAAGCTCCTGGTTTCGGATAGCTCAGCTCTGGCCATTGTGGCCACTTGGGGAGTGAACTAGCAGATGGAAGATCTCTGTCTCTCCTTCTGTCTTTGTAAAAATCTGCCTTTCAAATAAAAATAAATAAATCTTAAATATAAATACATTATATTTGTATATTCATACACATATATTTGTTTATTTGTTTCCCAAGGGCAAAGAGACAGACAGAAAGACAGATTTCCTGAGCCAGGCTAAAGCCAGGAGCCAGGAACTTCATCCAGGTCTCCCTGGATGGCAGGGGATGGGGATGTCAGGTGCTTAAGCACTTGGGCCATGTTCTGTTGTTTTCTTAAGCACATTAGCAGGATGCTTGATTGGAAGTGAAACAGTTGGTGCCCCAGTGTGGGCTACTGGTATCACGTGCAGTGACTTAGCCTGCTCTCTCTGCCACAATGTATTTTGACCCAGGATACTGCATACTGGTATTTCTGTATGGATTGAACTTGTATGTTTTTCTGTCCCTGGTGCAGTTGACGGAAAGACCCCAGCTGCTAGGTTACTGGTTGCACTCAGAGCCTGTTTCCCTGCTGACTGGGACCTAGAATCACATGGGGAGTCATGTGTGCATCCAGACTTCCGTTTTCTACTGCAGCCAGGAGGCAGGGGCTTCAGAAAGCGGAACATGAACTGTCAGAGCTTTGGGATGGACCCTGCCTTGTCCTGCTGGAGCCTGGCGGGGCGGGGAGGGGAGTGGTGCTGGTGAAGCAGGCAAGGGGTGGTGCTGGCATCCAGCACATGGCCCTGGTAGGCATGGTGGCAGCACAGAGGCGCAGGGCAGGGCCCAGGCTGAGCTTCTGTTGGTGCGGCCAGGCTGTGACCGCCCTCCTTGGGAGCTCTTGGAACATCTGAGGTGTTTTGGGCCTGGAGCAGGCATCAGCCAGGCCCTTGCCGTTGGGAGGAGCTCCCATTGCCTCTCGGCTGTGTTCACTGCCCCCTCACATGCCTATTTGCTCAGCAAACCGTGAAGTTGGCCAGCAAAGGAATGGAGGCCACTTCCTCATTCTTTGGGGACGGCCGGAACAGGAAGTTAAGGGCATGGGTAATTGGTCCAGGTGTGCCAGGGCAGGGGGAGCTGAGACCCTGCCTTTGCCAAGCCTGTTGACCCCTGTGGCTGATGGGCTGCTTTCCACGTTAGGGTGGCCTCCTGGATGTCATTCCTTGTGAGTGTGAAAGTGGGCGCTGTGGACAGAAGATTAGAACTGGGGCCAAGGCACCCTTGAGCTTGTGGCCACCCTGCTCCAACACCCGTCCTCCAGAGAAGGCCTTTCTGGCTGTGACGTGGTCCTGATGTTTGCAGCCTCAGCTGTTGTAGACAAAGGAAGCCCCACCCTGGAAGTGGCTCGCTTTTCTGTAAGATGTTGCTTAGAGGGGCCAGATCCCACCTTGGAGGGGATGCTGTCGGGCAGAG